GCCAGAGAAGGAGCCCCAGCCCCGAACATGAAGCCACAGGGGCCGCAGCGACCGGACGCCATGTGTGCAGAGCTGACTGAGAACTGAACCGAGCCTGAGGCAGCAGAGAGCAGGACAGAGCCCACGTCCCAGTGTGACCGGGCTGACCGCCTGCCGGGCAGAGCAACTAATGTCGTCCTGGGAGCCGCACAGGGACTCGGAGTCCACGCCAGGGAACATCCACATTTGCTACGATACAACCCAAAATTAATGGATGTTCAAAGAACCAAGGAAACGTATCCATTTTCAGTGGAAAGGACAAGGAAGCAGGCATCAACTCCAAGCTGACCCACAGGCTGGAAGGGTCGTGTAAGGGCCCTAACACAGCTATTTTAACTATCGCCAATGAGCCAAGAAAATACACACGGAATAAATGAAAAGGCAGGGATCTCTGTAGAGAGAGAGTGTAACAAGAGCTAAATGGATATTTTATTGAAAAATACAATACCTGAAATAGAACATTCACTGGACTGACTTAAGAGGAAACAACAGTGCGTCAGAAGGCAGCCCGACAGAAATGACGTGTTCTGAAGGGCGAGGGGAAACCAGACTGAAGACAAGTGAAGAGAGCCTCGGGGTCTCACATGTGTGTGACTGGCATCCCACAGAGAGAGAAAACCTGGGGCAAAAGACCCTGAAAAACAGTAACAGAAAACTCCCCAAATTTGGGGACATAGAGGCACAGATTCAAGAAGCTTAGTGAAGCTCAAACTGGATAAATCCTGAGGGAAACGCAAATCAAGACCACAGCGAGCCACCACCTGACACCTGCCGACTGGCTGTCACCAAAAAGACCACAAGCACCACGTGAGGCGGGGGCGTGGGAAAGGGAGCCCACGGGCACCGCTGGTGGGGTGTGCACCTTGCAGCCCCTGTGGGAGACAGCAGGGAGGGGCCTCAAGAAGGTGAAAACAGAACTGCCACGTAATCCAGCAACCCCGCTGCTGGGTGTTCATCTGCAAAAAACAAAAACACTACTTTGAAAAGATACACGCACCTCAGTGTTCACAGCAGCATTATTTACAATCGTCATGACATGGAAGCAACTTAGGTGTCTGTCAGCAGATGAATGGATAAAGCAGATGTGGTGTGTGTGTGTATATATATATGTATATATGTGATGGAATACTATTCAGCCATAAAAAAGAATGAACGTTGCCAATTGTAGCCACATGGGTAGACTTGGAGAGTATTATGCTAAGTGAAGTAAGTCAGACAAATACTGTATGATGTGGAATCTTAAAAGTACAACAAACTAGGGAATATGACAAAAAAGAAGCAGATTCACAGATACTGAGAACAAACTAGTGGTTACCAGTAGGGGGGAGGGGCAATAAAGCGTGGGAGATACAGACTCCTGGGTGTAAGACAGGCTCAAGGATGTCTTATACAACACGGGGAACACAGCCAATATTTTGTAATAACTGTAAATGGAAAGCAACCTTTAAAAACTGTATAAAAACTTAAAAAATTTTTTTAACTTAAAAAAAAGTTTTTTTTGAAAGAATACTATCACAGTTAAGTTGTTAAATCCGGGTGTTACAAGGTAGTTTGTGTAAGCCTTATGGTAACCACAAAGAATGAACCTGCAGTAGGTACACAAAAGGGTATGATAAAGAAGTCAAGGCACACCAAACAAAAGGTCATCAGATCACACAGGAGGAGAGGAGGGGAAGCAGCCAGAGGTAACACGCCCACAGAGACGTCAGAGGACAACCAGCAAAACGGAGCAGTAAGTCCTGACCCGTCGGGAGTCCCTGAAACGTAAAGGGGTTGGATCCTCCACGTAAGAGACACAGAATGGCTGAGCGGGTAAAACAAGGCCCGACGGCATGCTGCCTACAGGAGACTCACTTCCGCCGTGACGACAACACCGCCAGAGCAAAGACAAGAAAGAGGTTCCACACAGACAGTGGCCCGGCTGGAGCAGGGTGAGCTGCACCGTATCAGGCAGAGGAGACTTCACGCTGAGAACAGCAAGAAGACGCAAAGAAGGTCCTTCCATGACGATACGGGGCCAATCTGTCAAGAAAACTTAACGGCTGTAAATACGTGTGCGCCCGCATCGCGGCACCTGCGTGTACCAGGCAAACACGAGCACAGCTAGCAGGGAAAACAGCAACGCAGTGACGCTCGACACCCCACATCCAACAAGGGACGGGCCTCCCGACAGAGAGTCGGTGAGGAGACAGCCGGCCCGAACAGCACTGCAGACAACACGGCCCCGACAGACGTACGCACAACAGAGGAGACAGAGGATGCGACCAGTTCCACGCATGCAGGAACCGCATCTGACGAAATTCAACACCCGTTCATGACAAAACAAAACTGTGAGGAAACCAGTATGCGAGCAGCAAATAGTTGGAAAGTATAAGAAAAACTCTCCACTTACAGCATTAAACACTGAGGAACAAATCTGGCAAGAGACATCGAAGACCTCCATACTGAAGAACACAAATCACTGAACTTAAACAGGACCGAAGTAGACAGACACGCCCCACATCCGTGACTTCAAGGGCTCCGTGTTGTTGGACGGCAGTTCCCAAAGCCGACCTACACTCGGTCAGATCCCAAACTCTGGGTTTTGGGTTTTTTGGGTAGAAACTGACAAGCAGATTCTAAGATGCATCTATAACTACAAATAAAAGAAAAGCATTTTTTATAAAGAAAAGCAGAGTTGGAGAGCTCACCCCCGCCCTGTCTGCGTCAAGTGACAGTAATGAAGACAGTTTGATCTTGTGAAGAGAGATGCAGGCAAGTCAAGGAACAGAACGCAGCGCTCAAAACCAGACCACACACACGTGGTCACCGATTTTCAGAAAACGGTGCCAAAGGCCACTCAATGGCAACAAGGAAGACTTTCGAACGAGTGGGACTAGACAAGCAGATAGCCACGTGGAGACAGCGGACATCTACCCCCATCTTGTACCATCTACAAGAACTACGTTCTGCTGGAGCATAGACCTAAATGGTAAGAACTAAAACTAACATTTCTAGAAGAAAACAGAAGGGAGGACTTCTGCAAGACGAGCCTGGAGTACCAGCTCGAGGGGTCTCCCACCAGCCACATCCGGGACAACCTGAACACGAAATAAATACTACATTCCACGACATAAACTGGAATCCATGCTCCTGCGTTGATAGTTAACACTTGAGAAAATGAGTAAACACGCAGATGGGGGAGACGGAAGGGTGCTCCCTACATGTGAGCGAGGAACGTGAGCGAGCGTCTTACGAGAGGCGAGACGCGGCGCGTCTCCAGCGTCTCCCACGCTGATGACCGCTGCAGAGGGAGAAGCGCGGGCCTTGCACACGGGGGAGCGCGGGCATCGCCAGCAAAGCCAGGCAGACATGCTGTGCTTCCAGATGTGATGCCGCAGGACGAGGACCCCAGCAGTACCGGGCCCAGCGCATCACCTGAGGGTGAAGTCAGCCACGAGGACACACGGACCAAAGCAACCTGAGGGGAACGCCTCGAGTGTCAGTGTCACGAGGGACGGCCGAGGAGCTAACTGTCCCCGACTAAAGGAGACCGAGGAGACCTCCCAACTAAATGCGAGCACGACTCTGCACGGGGTCCCGTCCCAGGAGAGGAGAAAGTGCTTGAAGCTCACCAACGGGACAGCTGACGACACTGGAGCTGAGGCCGCAGGATGAAATGAAAACAGACGCCACTGCGGCGCTGCGGCTCTCGTGCGCCCTTCTCTTAGGGAAGGTGACTGGTAAGAGGCAGAGACGCTCGTGTGCAGCTCACCCTGCGGTGGCTCAAAGAACACACACGCGTACATGGAGAAAGAGAACAAAGCTAATGCGGCGTGATGTCGAAATGTTAAAAACTGTGAATCTGGGTAAAAGGCGCACAATGGAGTTCTGCTTTTCTTGCAGCTTTTCTACAGATAAGAACATATCTCAAAATAAAAAGTTACAAAAGTTTAAAAAATCAAAAGTATAAAAAGGACATTTTTAAAAAGCTGTAGTAGCAGAGGAAACGGTATGACTCGGGGTCACAGTCCTTCAGTCCCGCGTGCTGTGTGCATCTGCACACAATCATCACAACCTCGTCTCTGAAGTGCACGTTACCATCTGCCTGCAGACGTCCCGGGGCGTGAAATAATCTCAGACCTGCGGAAGCGTGAATACAGCCGCGTGGCGGGAGGCGGGAGGCGCAGAAACCCAGTTGTGACAGCAGAACAGGAAGCTGTGACGCAGCTCCGCTCTGCTGCCGCTTCAGTCCCCAACACTCAGCCCTGAGGCAGGAGCAGGACCCGGCTTCTCTCCCCACGGGCGCATCCGCAGCCACAGGGAGCTTCGGCAGAACAACCGCAGTGGAAGCTGGCCCCCACAAGGCTCAAACCCCCCCGTTTTCCTACACCACAGTTGGAGAGAAACGCTACTCTGGCAACTTCAGGAAAGAATCCAAATTCAGCTCAAAAGGCTCACGTCTCACCGGTTCATGATGACGTCGTCCCAGACGTTCACGGGGTCCACTTTAGCGTCCGGATACCTGTTCATCCAGGCTCTCAGGAGTCTCTTAAGGGGAGCTTGAGATGACAAATTACCTAAAAATAATATTCGGGTGTGACTATCCCACGGGTTGGTGAGAAGACCGACTTACAACGAGCAGCTGCCAATGGCGAACAGAAACTTCATTCACATTTCTTGTCCAAATTAAAACATTGTCTCAACTTTCACAGCAGGAGCACAAAGTTACCATTTAATATTTTCTGACGGTGAAACTCAGTTTCTTAAGGCTACAGAGGAAAGATGAGAAAGTAAGAGTTTTCGCATTCGGCACAGGTCCACAGTCCTCCACCCACAATTCCAAAATCTAAAAAGCGCTGAAAACTGACAAGTTTCTCACAGCACTGCACCCGTTTTCTGGCTGGCAAAATCTGACCCGAGTCACCACAGGGCAACCCTGTGCGCGCCAGGCATGGGAACGCCCGCAGCGCCTGCCGTCGGCACTGCCAGGCCGGTGCTCAAGGCCGCATCACAGCGGCAGCACCCACACGGCCTGGCTCCGAGCCCTTGGAAGAGCAGTTCACGAGAACCCACATGGGACTTAAATCCCATGCTGCTAAAGCTGAGCAATTTGGTCTTCTCTCTGCTGGAGGGAAAGCAGTGCTGAGACCACAGCGTAGGTCAGACAGTCCTGAGCTCGGAGTCAGGTTCCTCACATGTGAGCTCAGGTGACTTATCTAATCTAAGCCCTTATAACATGAGGAGAAAGACTCCACCTCGTGAGAGGGTTAAAAACTAGGAAATAAAGAAAAGAGAGTTCGCTGCTGGAGCGGTGCATCGCCGACAACACGCACGCAGATGATTCTCCAAGTTCAAAGCTGAGAACAGTTGGGCAGACAGTTCTGAACGCCAGTTTTTATTAGTTCTCTGAAAAGTGTTTCATAACTATTTTTAATTATTTAGCACAAAAATGGGAATTCAGATTTACAACTAAAATATGTTACTGTTGTGAAGACGTACTTTTTCCCTTGGACCCTGGGGGGCCCCCATCAGCGGCCCCCCACCTCCTCCTGCACCCACAGAACCTGCAGCACCTCCAGGTGGGCCGGCCCTCTGTGAGCCCTGCTCCCTGGACCAGGCAGGTTCTGTCCCCACCTCTCCTGTGGGGTCCTGTGCTCGCCTCTGTCCCACAAATACCACGTGGTGCTGATCACTCACGACCTGCAGCTTCCTCAGTGCCCAGAACAGCACCCGACCATTTTAAACATTTATTTCGATGACCTCAAAATACGTGTTTGTACAATAAACTCCAGGCAGTTCCTAAGCCACACATTAAGAAGCGTGTGCTTTCACTAAACAAGAAGATCACATGCAGACACTCTTCCATGATTATAAAAGGAAAAAACACAGTAGGGACACATGAAACATACCTTCTTTGCTAATAAAGCTGATGAACTCCTGAATTTCGATCAAAGTTTGTACAGACTGCAATTTGGTGAGTCTGCTTCTGTGCAACAGGACGTCAATACTAGAGTAATTCTGGAAAAAAGTTATTCAGCTTTGTTTACAAGTCAGCTTACGTTTTAGATTTTAACACAGTTCTTGAGGACAACATGAAATACAGCAATTATGCTGCAAATGCATCGCACAGCCTGCCTCAAGAGGTTCATAATCAGGCCACCAGAGCAACTGACACATGGCCTAAATTTGCTTAAACGTAGGCTTTCAATCACATTTCAGCTCAACAAAATCAGTAAAAGCAATAAAATCAGGAACACACCACCTCTGTTGACACCTATTCTTAAAAATGACAACCTCCTGTGATGTAAGGCTGCCAACTACAGAAGCCAGTTTTCCTTCTTCAATAGACTTCCTCTCGAGTGCACTAATCAGCCTAAAATTTGTTTAAAAACTAAAATAAAGACAGTGAATGTCAATTTACGCCAGTGACAAAGGTTACCAGAGTCTATACAGGACGCGGCCCTTAGAGAATGAGCCGACAACAGAGGCAGAGGCCCAGGTGGGGACACGGCCCGCAGACCCCTCCCTGCCCGGCCGCACGGGGGGAGGGTCTGCAGTGAGAGGAGGAAACCCAAGGGAAGACAGAAGGCGGAACCTCTGCAAGGCACCATCACAGAGGCCAGCGTGCAGAGGGATCAGCGGAGCCAAGTGCAGGGGAGGAGGGCAGGCGTGGACTGCCGTGCACGAGGTGCTGCCTGGGAAGCGTCGCAGCAACGGCACGTTTCGGGTTGGTGCACCTGTGTTACCTGCATGAAAACCTGAATGCAGTTTTCGACGTAGTACTTGGCACGGTCGATGTCATCCTGCAGGATGCAGAGGAGGCTCAGCTCCTGGCCGTGGTGCAGCTCCAGCAGGGCGCGCCGGGGCGCCAAGGCCCCCGCCTCGTCCACGAAGGTCAGCAGGGACTGGTCGCGCCCTCCCAGGAGCAGCCCCTTCAGCTTGCTGCGGATCATGTGGGGCAGGTAGGTCTCCTGAGGAGCACAGATCCTGCCTGTGACGCCGGGAAGCGGACCTGCGTCACCCCGTGCTTTTACCACCACGAGACCTTTGGTATAATTTAACAGGTCAAGGTTTAGAGCCAAACTGATGGCGTTGGATGCTTCAAACCTAAAACTACAATTTTAAAAACATTTTCATCTGAAATTGCTCACTTTACAACCACAGAGTAAACAAGGATGGGAACTACTTTGAGCTGAAAGACAGCTGGACGTCGGGTGTGGCGCAAGCGGCCTCCAAGCACAGCCGAGAGCGACGTGCGAGGGGCCGGCCTGCTGCCCCAGCACAGACGCAGCAGGAGTCCCTCCGAGCGGCCACACCAGGAGGTGACGCTCACTTCTAACGTGCCCGCTTACTGTGAAAGGTTAGCTACAAGCAGTAAGCAGTCTAACAGGAACACAGAGTTTGGGGGGAAGTCGGTTTATGCAAGTATCCTAATAGTCACAACCACCACCTTGTTTTGAAACGCTTTAAGCAACTTCACGAACGAGAAACACAGGCGACCCAGAAGGGGCCTTCAGTGACCGCAGAACGGATTCCACGCACCTGCCAGGACGGCTCACTCCACATTTTATTCAGGTCCGGGGGGTTCTCGCTGGCAACAACGGCTGTGGAACAGTAGGCCAGTGACCTCCACTCGGCAAGCTGGTTGTAACAGTCGAGGGCTGCGAGTTCCCAGAAGTCCTTCTCAGCGTCCGAGGGCTCGCCATCCGCCCACTCCTGTCTGTTGAGAGCCTGGTGGAGGAGAGGCTACATCAGCACAAAGGAGAACGCCTGCCTGGAGGTGGAGTAGCCCCCACACCCAGAACCGCCATTCAGAGGAGGCCGAGGAACCTGGGAGGAATTAACACAACGACGAAGATAAAAGCCCCACCAGGAGGCAGCCCTACCGATGAAGCCAGTTAATAAAGCGAAGCCATTAAATGGCTCGTAATCTGCTTTACATACTGTGCATTATTTACTACTTAGAAAGTTCTTAGAGTGAAAATGAAAAAACAGGACATTTACGAACCCGCAGGAGAATCTACCCCCACCAGTCCCCACAGGCCACAGCCCCCGAACTTCCAGGACGTCCCTGCTCCACACCCTCGCCCCAAACACAACATGTGCAAAACCGAGCTGAGTCATCTTCCCAAGACCAACTCTTGCTCAAAGAGAAGTTACATGACAGGTTCCGATACTGAAACAGCCTCTGACAATTTCATAGTGCTTGCTAGGAAACGCTTTCTGCTTTCTCTCTTATTCAACGATGATTTCTTAAAAAGAGTAAGAGGTACAACAAAGACGAGCTCACACGCGGTTACTATGAAACCATTCTCTACTACTAACCTTGGTGGAAACGCTAAGGAATAAGGCTGGAACATTACGAAGCTCTGAATCCTGACGCTAACAGTTTTTCCATTCAGCAGAAAGTGCAACAGCCAACAGCGGCTGGAGACCAGCGTTACCTCATTGTAACGCTCAGCGGCTTCAGAATAGTCACTTCTTGCTTCTGCTGACAGCGCGTCCTGAGTGACCGGCTTTGTTCCTATCTCACTGCTGAAGATCCCACGGAGGGTGTCATACTCTCCAATTGACCTGTACAGTCTATGAGACAAATTTTTAAAAAGTCCAAATCAGCAAATACCCCAGTATTTCTAAAGTCTTCTTTCTAATGAAATGACATTAAATCAAGATGTTACACGTTATATTAGCTAAAAAAGATATGTTATTTTTGTTTTATAAAAATACAGTCTTAAAAACGAAGTCACCATTAAATTATACAACTTTAGCCAGACAGAAGGCAGAAATTATTCTAAAGTGCATTTAAATAAAAACCTGAAAAGGTCATAGGTTTACAGTGTATAAACTGACTTATTAAACGAGCCTGTTCCGTGTTAGACTGTCACAGTAACACTGCACGTCTGTGGTAGCCTACGTGGCACCCTTGTCTAGCCCTAAAATATGGAATGTGCTCAAGAACCCAGAAGCTGGTGAAAATTAATCCTGGTCCTACAACTCCTGCCAGCCTCACTGCCAGTCTCTGACACGAACCAAAGTCTGCCCTGCCCGCGGCCCAGCCTCCCCCGTTTAAGACAGCGGCAGTGACAACTGTTCCTGGGGCGTGGGGCACGTTGCTGTCAGCTTTATGTGTTGCTTTTCTGTCAAAGTGAAGCTGAGGTGTCCCTCACTGTGGGCCCCTAGTAGGGTCGGGGCGCAGGGCTTACTTTGCAAGTTCCATCCATCGGGCAGTATCAGGAGGGAGGCCAGGCGTCCCCCGAGCCCGCTTGGCGGGCGGCTCCTGGGGCGCCAGGTGCAGCAGGGCCTCCTCCAGGAGGCGGATGCCCCCGGGCTGCTGCAGGCTGGCCAGGCTGCTGGTGCTGACAGCTGCGGGGTCAAGGCTCAGCAGATCGGCGTGTGTGCAGCTCACCTCCTGCAAAGGCACAGACGGCAGCTCTCAGGCTGTGGCCCTGTGACCACGTCCACACGAGCCGAGCACTAGCTTCACTTCATGCAACATGAAGGAGGGTCTGACCACCTGTGTTACAGCCAAACATCTCTGTGTGATTACATTAAATTTCCCTCAACATCCAATTAGCTCAAAGGAGGAAATGACCTCTTACTTCTTCCAATCCTGGATTAATTTAAAGCAACAAAACTACTGTGACTATGGAGACGTTCACGCACATTCTTTATGTGCAGACATAATGGCAGTTTCCAGGAATGTTTTGGCCTGAAGACGCAAGGAAAGCACCTAAAACGTGAAGGTTTCAGGTCCAGTCCCCCCAAAGCATGCGCACCTCTGCTTCCCCACGGCTTCTCCCACCTCCTTCCACCCGGGCTGACTAGTAATGTTGACGGAGGACTCCAGTAATCACCACACTGACCTCTACTTTGTGGCTCGCAATTTAAGAGTTCTGTGTACACAAAAACAATGAAAAACCCTAAATCGACAGAGAGAGCAGTACGAACAGCAGGACAGCCCTGTCCTGACAGCAGACCTGCACGTCCCTGGGAGAGCCCCCCGCCATGGCCACCCCTCCCCGCAGCAGTGCCCTGCACGGATGCCCACTAACACGGACCTCTTCCCACTGCGCTGACCTGAGTTCCACATTTGGAATCTTGGAGAACTCAGATTCTCCAAACAAGCAAACAAAAATGTCTGTCACTCGCAGAAGGAACAGGTGGCGGAGGAGACAGACTCCAACAACCCTGCTGCCACTAACAGCGCAGAAAGGCTCCGTCTGAACTGAGGGCGGAGCTCTGAGACAGCACCATGTCATCGGGAGAGGGAGGGCCTGAGTAGGATAATAATATCTTAAAACAAATTTACTTTTAATTTTCAAGTAACCCTCTCAGCCTGTAAATACTGACTGAGCACCTTCTATGTTCCAGACGCTGTGGGAAACAGTGTTGTCCTGACTGCAGCCAGTTTAAGATTTATTCCTATTTGCCCAAGAGAAACTGTTTCAACAGATAAACAGCTTTACTGGGGCAGAGTTCCTTTATACGTAGTCAGGTGCTCACAGTGAGATCAGTTCTAAGTCCATGTTCAAGATCAACTTGTGTGTGTAATCTTGACGACACTTTTTTATAAAGAAAGATTTGCTAAGCAAAAAAATTCAGCCAACTGACTTCACTTCTTATAAATTCCAAACCAGAGCAGTGGTGACGCCCAGAGGTCAGAGTGCTGACTGTCCACTGGGGTCAATACCAGGGCTCCTGCCTGGACCCTCATCTCACTGTACCGGGCGAAGGGCCACTTACCCACTTCAGTTTTCCACCGTTCTGCACACACAACCCCTTCAACAAGGGTGTTGGTGAAAGAAATAAAAATTTTATATGAAGTTCAAACAAGCAACGAATAGCACAAATGCAGGGCAGCAAGCTGAGGTACGTGTGGAGTCACTGACTGTCGTGGGAAAGTGGCTGAAAGGGGTTTCTCCTGCGAACACTGGCCCCACGCCCTGCGGTGCCTGGACAGACACACAGACAGCAGCTCCAGACAGGAGGCAGGAGAGCCGTCTAGGCCCACGTTCAGCCCTGCAGGCCCTCAGGCTGCTTGTCCCAGGCTCAGGGCCCACAGCGAGCAAGGGCAACAAGCTGCCTGCTTACTTATGGTCAATGACTCTCCCAACAGCAACCAGAAGACCTAGTTTTTAAATCAACGTTAGGAACAAAACTAGAAATACAGATTTTAAAAATCACTTCAGAATACAATGTAGAGAAACTTGTTTTGAAATACTGACTGAATCAATGCAACTGCTCAGCCTGATGCTTGGCGTCTCCGGGAGACGCTGAGGGAGGGGCTCTACCTGTGAATCGCAGGCCGGCAGAGCAGCTAACGCCTGCGAGGAAACGACGCTGGCAGCCTCCCGCCCCGTCACAAAGGACAACGCAGGGACACTGAGTGCCTCGTCCCAGGGAACTGCCACCCACTTAGCTTACAAACAAGAGCTACTGGTGAGTGATGTTAAAGAATGTAACTTTTGAATTACTCCAGGGAAGTAACTAGTTACAAAAACACTGAAATGAAACCAAAAGATTGTCTGTGAAGGACTTGGCAACGATCCAAATTTTGAACGGCAAAGAAAACACTTCATACGTTGAAAAGTTAATTTCCCAGTAAGTAGGTCTGGTAGTTATGAAAGCATGTCTGCACTGGCTCTCTTCTCAAACCACACTGCCCTAGACACCATCCCAGAGCCGGGCCGCTGTCTGGAGCGTGCACAGTCCCCCAGGGCCCTCCTCACGGGCCCTGCCCCTCCGCCACCAGGCCCCGCCCTGTGTGCAAGCAGGAGCTCCGACAGGAGTGGGTAGGGCTAGGACAGCGCCATGTGACACTGAAGGGACTGGCTTAGTAAGATCAGGACAGCTCTGAGCCAAGTTTGATTTCTCACTATTCTGTCATGGATAAGTGCCTTTCTGAAATACAAATAAACCGCATCGACCCGTCTGGGAAGAGGCAGCCCAGAGAGAGGGCACCGACCGCGCTGTCAAAAGCCTTGTTTCAACCTGGGAAACGGCAGACTCCCGAGGACCCCGAGCAAGCGGTCGCACCTGGAGGCAGGAGATGAAGGGCGGGAAGAAGAAGACAGTGGTGCTGAGAAAGTGGCTGAAGTCCTGCAGCACCTTCTGAGTCACGCTGCGTTTCTCGGATGCTGTCTTGTACTTGTCCATCTCTTTCATGATCCCGGAAAACAAGCTGCTAAAGAGCTGCTTGGCGACTATCGGGTCCCTCTGTGGACAGGCAGGGGCACAGGTCACAGCTTCACCTGAGACGCAGACATACCCACACACACACTCTGTGCTTCACAGGAGCTGCAGCTGCCATGGACGGGCACGTCTGGAGTTTACCTGATGACACGCATTTGACACGAGTCAAACAAAAGGCATGACAGCAGGGATTTCAGGACCAGAGACGCAGACTTCAGAGCTCAAGGCCTGAATGAGTCTGGGCCTGCGGTCCCTGCCCCAGACCAGGGGACGGCCGCCCAGGGCTGTGGGAAGATCGGTGCTCAGGGATGGAGCAGAGCCTGGAGCACCCTCAGATGACCAGGCGCCAGCTTTAACTCCTAGAGTCCCATCCGTGGGCCATGAAACTCGGGCATCACCAGCAGCCGCCTCCCGCACACACGGCAGGCTGCCCTGCTCTGTCACCCCAGTGCCACCCTCCACGGCCTCTAACAACAGCTCCTGGGAGGCACTGTCTATGTTTTTAAGTGAAGACATGAATGTAGAAGTAAATAAAATTTTCAGTGCCAATGTCAGTTTCTGGGTCTTCACAAAGCGCTAGTTACGTCAGCTGTGAGGGCGGCTGGAGGGACGGCAAAGGACTGTGTGCTGCTTCTGCAAATTCTGTCAAAATGTAATTATTTCGATTCATTAAAAGCTTGTGAAACAGTAATGTAACCTATTATAAACAATTTCAGTACCGCAAACTCAAGTACAGTAAAACAGAGCACTGTGTCTCAGCACCTAGTATAATTAGCATATAATACTCTTTGACTTTAAAAATTATTTCAGTTAAAGTCAAAGGAACTGTAATCAGACTTTCTAGGGACAAATATCCTGTTTCTGTCAAGGAATTCGGGTAGAAAACGCCATTCACTCCTGATACTCTCATCCCCTAACGAGTGAGAAAAGTATTCCCAGCCCTCTGCTACTAAATTCCCAGGGAAGGAAGAACCCCGATCCCCCAGAAAGGGTTTGTATAAGCCATGATTTAAGTGGCTTCGCAACTTACACGTTGTTTCATTCAACGAACGCTGCAGGTAAGAGAGACCGCCCTGTCTGATCAGGGTGAGCAGAACCCCGGACAGAGGCTCACAGAGCCGGGAGCAGCAGGGCCAGGACACATGTGGGACAGGCCAGCCCTCGTGCTGACCCGCAAGGCCCTACCGCCCCGGGCAGGCTCCAGAACCCACCTGGGCCACGGCCTGCAGCGGGGCGATGAGGCTGCTGTGTGGGATCTGGACGTCAGGCAGGTCTCCTTGACGGTAGCTCCGGTACAGCACGACCTGCGCGTCCTGCCTCACTCTCAGCTCAGCCAGCACCTCCTGTCACCACAGAAACGGGAAGAAGGTGAGAACCCTCATGCAGGAGTCAGCAGTACGTCCCGTGAGACCGTCAGCGTGTCCTCACATGAGTGGATCTGAGGCAGCCCTCATCCAGGACGCTCAGTCGCGTGCTTTACCGCATGGGCAATGACACGGCCAAATGAAAACCAGAAGATGACTGAAACTTGTCTCACAGAGAAATCTGAGTTCCTCTGAAGCCAGAGAACTTGATTGAAAACTTTTTAGAGCCGTAAACCAGGCTCAGATGAGGCAGGGGTGTCAGGGCCGCCCGGCCGCCCAGGCCTCTCCCAGCACTTCCTGCCCACGACCCCGGCTCCAACCCTCAGGAAGCCTGGTCGGGACGAGACTGGACCAGGAGCAGCCGCGTCCCCGAGGCCCTCCCTGCAGAGCTGCAGCTACGGAGACAGGGAGCAGAGAGGCACGTCTGCTTTTCACGGAAGACACAGCAGAGCCGCTCGGCCACGGCACACGCAGATGTGGAAGTTAAGTCTTGCTTGAGGCCTCAAACTGAGTTAGAACCAAGACGGTTCTTTCGCCACCATCCAGTCTTTACAACAGTCGGTCCTAATTACTGATAGGGTGTCACACCGAAGCTGTGGCTAAACAAAGCCTCTCATTGCTTCCACACGGAGGGGTGTTTACCTGTTAATTCCCCCCAGCCTGTGTCTGCAGCAGACTGTCCCCTGGCCGGCCACCCTCCCTCCACGCCCAGCACCTCCAGGGGCGCGGCCTCCCCCTCTGACCACAGCCTGTGGCCCCCAGGTGGGTCGAGGCTGCGACCTTGAGGTCGGAGGGGCTGAGGCTGTAAGACATCAATCTCAGGGATGACGGGCGGTCAGGCTTCCACCGTGAGGAGGAAGCCCGGCGTCCCGGGGGAGCACAGCCCCAGGGCAGAGGCTGTCTTGGGGCCCGGGGCCACCGCACATGCACATGCTAGGCCACACGGACCGAGGCGCCGGGACCAGGCTGCAGGCCAGCAGGCAGGCTTGTCTCCGCAGTGCACGTCCTCTGACAGAGCAGCGGTCACTGACCGAACTCCAGAGGCGGATACAAACCTTCTCCCGCTTTTGTTCAACAACAACTTTCCTGGCGTAAATCAGACTCAGTTTTTCTTGGTCCTTTAAAAATCGTCTGCGTAATCTCAGTATTTCGGCCCGACTATCTGCACCTAAAAACAGAAAGCAGGTGCACTGTTCGCAGCTGACTTTGCCTCCTTCCCAGAATCCGTAAAACAAAAGCGAGAATTTGCTTATCTACTCTTCACCTTTGTTTACTTTTGTTTTTAAAACAACATAAGCTTGTGAGGCCCAAAGACCAGCCTGGAGGTGGCCAGCCAGTTCTGGAAGTTGGAGAACAGGTGGTGAGGCCTGCGCCTGAGACAGAGCCTGACGGCCGGAGGGACAGCGGGACCTCGGGACACAAGGCTGAAGGGGGGTGTGGGCGCAGAGTCAGCCTGCAAGGCGAGAGGCAGGCGAGCTGGAGGACGTCTGGAGCCCCGGGACCCAGCCGCCCTCCACGTGGCCCCCGGCTGGCAGGCAGGAGAGCATGCCGGCCTCTGGGTGATCGACCAGCAGAGAACAGGGCTTCCACGTCCCAGACGCCAGCCAGCACCCCACGTGCAGGTACTGTTCCGAATACCCTTCAGTGCCCCACCTGGGACACAGCAGAAAGCCGAGAATCACCAGACCTTCGAGGAAAAAGCATCAAATGAGAGAGACAGGAGCCAAAACAACAGGGAAAGAGCTACTGTTAAAAGCAGACCGTCCAGGAAAAAATTCAGAAGATGATCACTTATCAGAAAGGTCACAGTAGATATTCCAACTGTGGATCAAGGACTGAAGGGATGTTCAGAGACCAAAAGGGCTTGTGGAAATTAAAAGCAAGGTTTCTTAAAAGCATGCGTTAAAGATCAAGTCAGATTTCCTAGAACGGGGAACAAAAGGGATAAAAAACAAGAAAATTAGAAGCATAATCCATTAGGTCTGACAGTGGAAACAGGATTCCAAGAAGAGAGAACTGGCTTGCAGAAATCACCATCAAAACCACCCAAGGAAAAACATTCCAGCACCGGAACACAGGAGCTGGCAGCCTGAAAGGGCCCTCACACCCAGAAAAGTGGACACTTCGGTGGCATTTCCTAAAACTAGCTTAAAAGAGGAGACCCTAAGAGCATTCCCAGAGCAAAGACTCTGTCCTCACAAAAGACCAGATGAGAACAGAGCTCTGTCCCCACGGGTGCCAGGGCCCCTGCCCGCGGGAAGAATGAACAGAACCAAGGGGAAGGGCGGGCCATAGGCCTCAGTGGCCCCCAGACCACGGCCACGCGGAGGCTCAGGGTGGATGCGGGGGCCACACAGGAGACAGCCGTCCAATGCAGAGGAGACGTGGGAGCAGATGTGCAGAAAGCTAAGCACCTAAGGAAAGTAAGCACTAACACCCAGGAAAAATGGCTGTGCAGGACAGGAAACCTGTGCTCAGCCACAGGCCGTACGAGGCTCCCGGGGGGAGTGGGGCGGCCACAGGACCAGGAATGGACACGGGGATGCCCGGGCAGAGTGGGAGGCTTCCCGCGACGGGGTGGCAGGCGGGGCAAGCAAGGCGGCGGGTGGGCACACCTCCGCGGCAGCACTCACCTTCTGCTCTGTGCTCCACCTCGTCCCCTGGGAGGGCCAGCCTCCTCTTCCCAAAATCAGGTCCCACCGACTTCAGCAGTGACCGTTCCGGCCTCTTGTGGGCAAACAGCAGGGACGAGGATGAGGACGAGGCCATGTCCACGTCGTCCCCCGGTGGGTCCACACTGCCCCCCGTCAGCCAGCGGAAGGAGCCTCTTCCCCCTGCAAACAGGCCTGTCAGGCTGGCCCTGCCACCCGCCAGCACGCGCCACGCAGGCTTGCAGACCAGGAGCCACGTCCCGGCAGCAAGGAAACAGGACCTCAGGGGCGTCCAAGCCCTGAGTCCTCACTTGACAATAGGAACCACGTCACCTGCTGGTGAGGACGACAGTGTCTCTACCCGCAGGTACTAAGCCTGTGGTTTCTACCGTCAGTGTCACAAAATTCCCACTGAAACTGTCCAAAGTGGTCCAACTTCTAGAACCAACAGAATGTGAAAACTCTCAAGGAAAACATCGAAGCACTTATACAAAACGACTTTACTCTACAACTCACACTGTGATGGCCAAAGGGAGAAGGTGGACCATTTGAGAAAGACAGTCCAGCAAACCACAAACAGCGAGCGAGTCGAGCTCAGCTCTGCTTTGCTGCCCAGGCAAGCAGTTTTAAATCTAATGCATGAAGCAGATTTTCCTGGACAAAACCGAAACAAAACAGACACGTACTGAGACTTCCCCGTTTCTCCTGGTCAGAAAAGACCTGGCCCCCCCTCTTCACTGTGGTGACAGCCCACCACCCGCAGGGGTGGGCGGGGGTGGGCGGCCTGAGCACCCGCCCCGCCCTCTGTACCTCTCCGGGGCTGGTCCTTCAGACACCGCGGCCCTTTCTCCTCTGACTGTCATTCTTCTCGAGGTTCCCTCCCTTTCCCGTCACCGTCACCTCCCTGCACTGACGCCCTGAGGGGCAGCTCCCGCCGGGCACTCGCCTGCGCTCTGGGTCAGCGTGAAGTCAAGCTGCCGCTGCGTGGCCCGGACCTGCCTGGCCGCCGCCCCTCGCGCCCCGTCCTGGGCCTGGGTCTGGAGGGCACTCAGGGAGGCCTGCGTCTCCACGAACATCGGGGTGAGGACGGTGCTCCGGAGGCGCCAGTCCGCGTCGATGGTGTACTCCTGCACAGGAGACATCCAACAGGAGGCTCGCACTCCAGCCCCGCGCCCACCTGGCAGCAGAACCGCGGCGCCTCACCTGTGCCCGTGAGAGGAGCTGAAGAGCCTTTCACGTTCAGAAGTGTTTACGAAGCAGTCATTTGCCTACTGAGAACACCCATCAGCACTGGCGGGGAGGCACCACTTTTCTACTCCTTACCCGGATGCCACTCGCAGGGAAACTCAACCCCTCCCAGCGCCCCGCCCAGACGGGAGACCCGCGGACGGACGGGAGCGCCGGGTCCACGCGTGAACCCTCACTGCAGCGGCTGCGGGAGGGGGATGGGGGCGGCCCAAGTCGGGGGGAGGGGAGCAGAGCAGGTGAGCACACGTGGCTGCTTCAGAAAGAGAGCTTGGACTCCAAGCAAAGGAAGGAAGACAGCGTCACCAGGGAACGTCAGAACCACTGTCGTCACGACAAGAGAGAACCCACCAGAGTGGGACGTGGTGCGCGTGGTGGCGATGGAAACCGGCGCGGCCACCACGGAAAAGAGGGTGGAGGTTTCTCAGGAAACTAAACATAAAGCTGCCATGTGATCCAGCTATTCCATTTCTGGGGTTTATCTGAAGAAAACCAAAGCACCAACTTGAAAAGACATATGCGCCCCAGCGTCACAGCAGCACTGTGGTTCTAGCTTTTATTCACAGCTCTGTTGTGTTACGATTCCTGCACAGTAAATTACACATATTCCAGATGAAAAATTTGATGAATTTTGACAGATGTGTAAACCCATGAAACCACCACCACAATCAAGGCAGCTAACCCTTCCATCATTCCCCAAGAGGTGCAGTTTTCAAATTCCCAATTTATCCTCCCCCCACCCCCCACCCCATAACCACGACTCTGTTCTCTGTGTCCACAGCAGCACCATTTATAACAGCCAAGACATAGAAAGAACCCAACTGTCCAACAACAGATAACTGAATAAAGATGTGATATGTTTATATAATGGAATACTACTCAGTCATAAAAAAGAATAAAATAACGCCATTTGCACCAACATGGATGGACCTTGAAGGCACTGTGCTTAGTGAAATAAGTCAGAGAAAGGCAAATACTATATGATCTTATTTATATGTAAAATCTAAAACAAAAACTCAAAAACCCAAGCTCATAGATACAGAGAACAGACTGGTAGTTGCCAGAGGCGAGGTGGGTAGGAGAAATGGATGAAGGGGTCAAAAGGTACAAACTTTGTTATAAAATAAGAAAGTCCTGGGGTATAATGTTCAGCATGGTGACTATGCTTAATAACACTGTATTGTACATTTCAAAGTTACCAAGAGAGTGCAAATTAAAAAACCCGGAACTATGTGACGTGACGGACGTTAGCCAGACTAACTGTAACAATGACTCTATAATTAATATACACGACATCAAATCGTCACACTGAGCGCCTGGAACAAACGCACTGCTGAGTGTCAGCTACACCTCAACCGAAGGAAAAAGACAGACGTTTACCACTAGTGGACGACACCGACCACAAGCAGGGAGAGCTCAGATCACAGGGACGAGAACCCACCTGAAACTCGCACTCTGACAGAGGGTGCTCAAATATGGGGCTCTGGAAGTCGGGGCTCATGCTGGTCATTTCAAGCAGAAAATCTGTCGCTAAGCTTAAGAAGTGCACTTCTATCTTAGGAGAATATAAGGAATTCAGGGCCAACAAGCGGCCCAAGGTATTCGAAGGCATCCTAGTTTCATGGCTCCAGAAGTTCCGAATCATCAACCTGAAAGGCAGAGAGGAGAGAAGAGGACGAAGCCTGTCCATGTTCCCAGTGGGGACTGTCCGCGTGCCGTCTGGGGACTGCAGCTCATGTCCTGCCGGAGCCAACGCAGGGAAGCCACACGCAAAACTGTCCACAGGGGAACAACGCATGCACTGAAGGAGGGAAGGTTCCAAAACTTGTTATTTAACAAGAGGTGAGAAACTAGGTGATTTTATTCTCAACTCTATTGCCTGGGAAGTTTTATTTTCATCTTTTTTTGATGGAGGGACTGGGCACTGAACCCAAGACCTTGTGTGTGCTGAGCACACACTCTACCACTGAGCTCTTCCCCCCCACTCCCCGGGGAGGCTTCAGGGATCAGTATGTAACCACCGTTTCGAAACTGAGAAAACCTCAAAAGAAACTATATACAGGCTCTCACTGCCTTGCTAAAACAATTCAGTCCAAATACTAGTGCCATAAAAAACTCAAAACTTCATATGAACATAAAATATTCAAATTAACCTGGTTAAAAACCAGATTGGGCTTTATAACTTGAGAATGTTTATGAAATCCAATTTTTTGAAGTTCAATGAATTAAAAACCACAGTACAGCTGAAAGTTAGTGGACACACAGACCCACACGAAGGTCTGTGCCCTTCCCGTGTGATGTGCACACTGGGGCTGAGTGAGAAGTCACCCCTACACTGCCGTCTCCGCCGACGACCCTGCAAGTCCTCCTATTTCTAAGGCTCCAAACACCTCGCTCCAAACAAGGGACACTCGTGGTGCTATCACGCCACCCGGGTGAAACGGGCACAGTAACGCCCCACTCGTGCCGGTTCTCATCCTGAAACGCTGGAACTCGCGGCACAGCAGAGAGTGCTAGCCACGCCACTCCTTCCAGACTCTCACATCAGAGTAACTTGTCAGGGCTCTTAGGTCTTCCTGGATTTAAAGTGCATTTCCATGACACATCATGACAACAAGAGGCAGACCCTTCCAGCACCCCGGGAAGATCCCACACTGGCCGAGAAGGAGCCTCCCCGCGCCACCAGCCCAGCTGCACCAGGGGACACGTACTGAAGCCCGGGGTTCTCGTCCGTCAAGCCCTGGATCAACACGTCTTTCGCCAACTTGAATATCTCCTGGGAGGCCCCGTCGGCCTGGCTCTCTGGATCGCTGAGAACAGTAACAACAGGACAGCTCGTGATGGCTCCTGTCCTCTGCCTTTGCTCTGTCCTGAAGACACTGCCCAGAACTGAGGGGAGGGCATCTGCCCCTCCCACTTCTGCACCTGGCTCGCAGGCCCAGTCCAGGAGGTGGGGAAGAACAGGGCCCCTGCCCCACGGGAAGGGGTCCTGCCAGAGAAGGACCCCTGGCCGTTTCTTTCCTTAATCTTGCCAGATCTTAGCAGGATAATAACCAAGAACAATTACACTTCGAACTCAGCCAGTAATTTCACCCTCTGAATATTCCCCACACGTATGTAAAATGAGTTAAAATAAAGATATATTTCAATACACTAAAGTAATCTTGCTTTAATTATCATTTTTTTTAAGTTTTATCATTTATGACATTCATTCCAGCCTGCTGGCAGAGTCCAGTGCTTCTATGCAAACGCGGTGTAACCGTCTCTGCAGGGCGTACCGGTAGTTGTCGTGAGCCCACATGAGGATGCCGTATGCCTGCTCCCTGCACCGCGTGGACGGGTGAGAGGCCAGCTCTGCCACCGGCTGCAGGAGCTCCAGGAGCTCTGCTGGCTTCAGCTTTGCCATCACCTTGTCAATTATGCCCAGACACACTTTCTGTCTTTCATCGTCTCTGTAAGTAGAGGGATTTTTAAAAAACAAATTTAACAGCTTTTATCATTATGCTTTCAGATACGACTGGAAAGTTCTTCTCTATGCTGTTCCATATTTCAAAGTTTATTATAACAAGTAATACTACATTTATGCAAAAATCACATTCTTGAAAATGATTATTGCAGGTTAGACTATGAAAAATAAGTTAAGAATGTGGTATCCTGGATTGGATCCTGGAATAGAAGAAGGACATTAGTGAATTCAAGTAAGTCTGATCTCCGTAACAGCAGTGTGCTAACGCTAGCTCCTTGGTTTTGACAAATTCCCCATGGTGATGCTGGACGGGGAAGCCGGGTGAGGGTGTGTGGGGGCTGCGCTGAGTTTTAACTCTTCTGTAGAAACAAAGTTATTCCAAAATAAAACCTGACAATGTCAGACAGAACAAGGTAAACATAAACGAATTCACGACCTTAAAAACTGACACCAAGTGTTGTCAGGCCCCCACTTCACAGGGAGGGGTGCAGTCTGGGTGCCCAGGGGTGCACACCATCTCCTCACCGCAGCTCCCTGCTTAAAGCTCCAGCCAAGCGCCCTGCACGTGCAGACGCTCAGGGAGCACGGAACAGAGCAAGTCCAGACACAGTGACAGAACCTGGCACCACGTGGGAAAGCACACGGGCGAGTCTGGAACAGGGCATGGAGAAGGGGAAGCGTGGCGAGTCACCGTCAGCACCCTCTTTCCACATTTACTTCAACAGCACAAGGCGGTTTTGAAAATAAGTAAGCAAATTTAATAAATAACGGAAGCCCCTTACCAGACAAAACAGGTACAAAACTCAAAACCATGCGTTTTGAATCCGAAAGGAGCTCTGGTCAACCTGAGACACGGCCCCCCGGGTGTGGGGTCAGAGGAGGCACGAGGCCCCGGGTACCTCTCCTCCGATCAAACCACATACACTCGCGTCCTCACGGCCCACAGGGCCCCGAGTGGAAGGGGCGGCGCACAGCTCACACCAGCCGTGCCCCTCACCTGTGTCTCATGACCTGAGTGAAGTCCTTGCTCTTTAACTGCAGGTACACATCCGCTATCGCCTCCGCGCGACACAGCACCACCTCCAGACACAGCGTCTTCATCACGCCGTGCAGTCTTGGCAGCAGGAACAGCACAGTGTTCATGAACCTGGCGGTAGGAGGCCGGTGAGCAGAGGCACCGGCCCCTTCTCCCTCCACCCCCACCCGTGGGCGAGGTGAGGGTGGGGCTGACCCCCTCCACCTGTCAGCGAGAGGAGGGAAGTTCTTCGCAGCTCTGCTCAAACACACGATGAACTTGTCCTCCATGGTGTTCTGAAGCTGCCTCAACTGTTTCACCACCAGCTCACACACAGACTCCGCCAGCATCTGAAAGATGAAGTTTCTTCTCAAATATACGTTAAGTGAAAACTTAGTTTAAGCACTGAAAGGAGGTGTACGAGCAGTTACATGACCAGCCAGGAGAGCGTCCCCAGGCGGAGGCGCCAGAGGGGGCTTGGACCAGAAGCTCCGGGCTCAGCCGAAGCCCCAGGTCAGGAGTCAGAGGACAAGATTACCTCCTTCTGACACCAAAACACGGCCAGCAAGTCACTTGACAAGCGAGAGTAAAACCAGAGACTAAATGCTGCTCAGGACACGTTCCATGACGTCGGTGTCCACGTGTCTGGTCAGACACTCACGCACCAGGACTTCAGGGAGCCCTGCTGTCTGCCCTGGTCCCACTCCATCACCTCGTGCCTACGTGTGCGCAGTCCCCATGGGCTCCCTGGCTGGCCTGGCCTCTGCTGGCTGCACTGGGGCTGAGCCAACGAGAAGCGCCAGCCTAGGGGCCGGGTGAGACGAGGAGCAGCCCTGACTGGAGCCCACGACCCAGGGGTGAGACAGGTCAGTGGTCAGAACCAGAGGGACCCTTGCTTCTCGGCCTGACTCTGCTGCCAAACTTCTGAGCTAAACCAATGCCATTTTATGGTATTGATAAGAACTATGTAAAACAAAAAGGTTTATCATTCCCATTAAGTTCAAGTTTAAGCCGAGAGAGCTTAAACCTGGGATCTGCTGTAATGTGCCCCATCTGTGGTGGGAACAAAGCACTGTTTAGGGACATGAGAACCGTGTCGTAATATTCTGAAGTTAAAATTTTTTTTTTATTTTACAAAAATAGCTGGTAATCCCTAAGTAAATTATAAGTGAAGTCTGACCCCCCCCCAAGTGGGTCTGTTTCCTTTCAGCTTAATTTTCTTCTAAATCCCAACAAACGCCTAATTGATGAACTGGGCGGGGGTGCAGGATGCCACGGGGTCGGTGCCCTGGGGACCCCTGACCGCCCGAGTCTCTCCCTGCCCCTCTGACCGGGACAGAGCCCAGACTCCACTGTTTCCTTCTGGGGGAGGCGGAGGGGTGGCCGGAGACCAGCACTGCCGTTCTTAAAGCCAGTGGCCGGGGTGCTGGCAGGGGAGCGCTGAAGGGAAGAGGGCCAGACCCAGAGCCGGGGAGGGAGACGAGGGCCCAGCGTGTCACCCTGGACAGTCCGCCACCGGGTGCCTTGTCACGATGGGTGACGGCCCCGCAGGCCCCAGCATGGAGCCCCACTCAGTTAACCCCGGGGGTTGGCCTGGGAGCTTTGAGTTAACCTGCAATTTACACACAGCCCACGTGGCTGGACGCACCCTCCGTGACCTCGGTCACCGAGGACACAGCGTGCTGGGCGCGCGGGGCCTGAAGGTGACGCAGAGTGGGCCGGGCAGCCAGCAGCCCTCCCTGAGAGGCCCTCTCAGTCTGGCAGCTGCTCACGGCAGAACAGCAGGCAGGGGCCTGGGCGGGTCACCTTCACGCTGCCCGGAGCTCAGGGCTTGCTCCTCCAGGGCACCTTCCTCCAAAAGGGAGCCCTGAGGCCAAGCGCAGAGGAAGGAAAGCTGGTCAAACAAACACTCATATCCTGACTTTTACAATGAAAGTAAGTTACCAGTCTTTAAATATCTGCCAAGTTTCCAAGAGTTTAAAAAAAAGTCATTTCTTCCTTCAAAAAAGCTGAGTAGGAAAGAGTAAACTATTAATAAACACAGAAGGCCCACTTGGTTTCCTACAGAAGGCACGGGGATCAAGGCACGTCAAGTCACAACCAGAGCACACTCACCTCGTCCCTCTCGGAAACGTACCGAAGAACAAGCCCGAGGACCTCTGCAGCCGCCGCGTACACCTCTTTGTATTTCACAAAGGACATGTTACTGACCAGAGCCTCAAAGTACCTGCAACGAACGGCGAAGAAAACACGCATAAAGCCCTCCACCCGCTGTCACAAGGGCATCACAGCCTCGCTCCTGGCGCACACGGGACGCAGGAGCCTGAACGGCCCCAAGGCACCTGTGCGGCTCCGACACGCAGCCTGCGACTCGGCCGCAGGACCTGCTGCAGGGAACAGAGCCACCCTGGGCCTGCGAGACATCAGCCTTGACCTGAGATCAGACATGCCAGCCCCTGCAGAGCCGTCCACGCGACCAGAGAAGGAAATGCCGGGCGGAGGCTCCCCGGCCTCAGACGGCAGGACGTGAGCGCAGGTAAGGCCACGCTTCCCGTGAATCTGTGCTGCGCTGCTCGTCGGCCTGTCTGCCTGGCCACTGGGGCACCTGGGGCAGCCAGACCACGAGACCTTCCAGAGAAGTGGAGAGCTCGGGGCACGTGCTGACGTCTACCAAGTAACCGACCTCTCAGGTGCGAGACCCCGGGGGTGGGAGCCGCGTGGCTGCGGCTGCGGCTGCGGCAGAGCTCAGGGAAGGGCAGCAGCGTGCGGCCACCCCTCGTGCTCCTGGCCCTGGGATGAGGCTCCCCAGGGCTCACGCCGCCTTTGGGAGTAAACGCCGAAAGCGCCAGCTTAGAACGGAAACAGCTAACGTCCAGTCTGACAAAACCACACAAACTCTAATTTTGTCTGATTTTTCATCTTTAAAAATACACTTTCTTCATTCAATTCACTCACACGTTTCTTCTCCGAAATGACCTCTAAACCCAACTATCTAAATTCAGGCAGATATTTTCAACATGGGTTCTGGTCCTTACGTTTCTCAAAACGAAACCACACTCCCAGCCTCCAAGCTGACTCAGGGGCCCTTCACCCTGAAAAGCAGCAGATCAGGACAGCGCAACACTTACGTCGTGCTTTCGACACCACACCTTGAGTCGTAGGGAGGCAAGTCATTAGCCATCACGATGCCGAGTAACTGAATTCCCACTGAATTGTCTTTAGCATTACGATCTTTACTGGAAAACTTTTCAAATATTAACCTGAAACGTGAGCAGAAAGGAAAAGTAGAGACTGTCAGGTACACGAGGCAGGAAGACAGACACAAACCTTCTGCGGCTACTTTCCAGGGTAAGAAACCCTTTCTCTTTTCCAAGCCCCTCTGCTCACATCCAGGTTCCTCCAGCTCCAGAACACGGGCAGGTCGGTATTTCTTACACGCTAACTACTTGCCCCATTCTCCCTTGGTGGACAGTAAGATCTGCAGCAAGTCTGGGCCTGCCCAGGCTGTGCTGAAAGGGGTAATCCCGGGCAGGAGGCCGGAAGGGAGGGTGCACCCCACACGCCCAGAGGCACAGAGGGCTGCCTGGAGGCGATGGCCCCAGCGGTGTTTCCGGTACCAGACGGAGGCTGTGGCCTGTGAGTGGCAACGTTACACCTTGTAGAGAGACTCCACTTCAGGTTACGTCCTTGCTTCCCTCACTCCAGATGACAAAGGCTCACCGTGACCATCACGTGCAGCACGCCACACATACGAGAACGTTAAACCTACAGCAACATCCAGTAAACGTGTACCTGTAAGGCACGGACAAGCACTCCTTCCAGCACTCGGTGAGGGTTTTTATAATCTCAAGATTATGTCTAAACACAGCTCTTTTCTGATGAAAAACGTGTTTCATTAGGAAATGAAGCAGTCGATTCGCTAACACTTCGTCTTTAGGGACCCCCTAAAAAGGCACAGAAATTCCACATGAACCTTTATTGCGTTCCATGCTGGGAAAGCACTTTTGAATCCAAAAGCCTGTTTATGAAAGAGAGCGGGTACTGTACTGAGGAGTCTGGGCCGCGGTGAAAACCCACGCGAGCTTGTTCAGATCCGACCACAGGTGACTACAAAGGCTTTACCTGGCAGGGCCCAGGGAAGCCGCCCTCCCCCGCCCGCTGGAGGCAGCCAGGCTGCACCCGGGGGCTGCCGGATCTCGGGAGCCCCTGCGGAGGGCTCCACAGGACCCACTTCACTCCAGGGAGGATGCCCGTTCTCACCACAGGAGTGGCCGACCCCGTCCACGAGAGCACTGTTGCCACTATCTCGACCACCATGTAGTGAATCCCCTCCCCGCTGCTCTCAGAAGCCGCCAACTGCAGCAGGGGGCCCAGCCAGTGCCTCGCGTGAGGGCGGAAGACCTGGGAGAGAGTGCGAGAGCCCAAGGTCAGAGTGGCTCTCGTGACCGAGGTGCGATTTCCCGAGCACAGCTGTAATGTTAGGACTTGACCCAAGTCCAAACCAGGTGAACCCCAACAGCGATGCTGCCCATCGGGGGCCGTCAGCTCAACGCTCTGTACTTTTCACTGACCGCTCCCCTAAGCCTCTCTAATGTGACTGTGCCTGTAGAAATAAAAATGGAAATGCTCTGTACCAGCCGCGCCCCAGTGGGCAGCACAAGGTCGAGCAAACGACAGGGTGCATGAAAACCAGGAATATAAAAATCAGGTGTGTACAACTCTTCTCACCCCTTCCTGCGCTGCAGGACGTCACACGCCCAGGACCCCTGAGGCCTAAACTCCTCGATTTTAGTTCAGAAGCTGCAGTAACCGAGGCTGTCTGCTGTGACCTCTGCCACCTGCTTTGTCTCCCAAACGCCTCCTCGGGGATTTCTCATCTGCTCTCACAGTTAAATCTGTCTGGTCGCAGATCCTTTCTCATCATGTGCTCTTAAGTAAAATAAAAAACTATGAACGCTCCCCACGTCAGTCTGTTGGTTCATCCATAAACTGTAAATACAAACTTCATTACTGTTATTGAACTGTAAAAAAAGGATAAATTAAAGGTTCAAATTTTAAAAACGTATGTGAATACAAGCTCTCACCCTCACCCCCATAAGACAATGGCCACCTGTTGGGAAACCGCTGCCCTAACCGCCCCCGAGCCCCAGGTGTGCATGACGCCGCAGGGCCCCCTTCGGGGTGCCCCAAGGCTCCACGTCACAGGTGGGCCAGCAGCCTCGTGTTGAACCAGAAAACAGGCACCAGCTCTTTTCTGTCTGCCATCAAGTCCTCATGATGGGAACGTGAGCTCGAAACCCCATGTGGGCCGAGCCGTGGACCCAGAAGGCTGCTCAAGTCCTGCCTCTCAGTACCTGTGACTGCCCGTCTTCAGAAACGGGGTCTCTGACGATCACTGCGTCACTGAGATGGGCCTTAATCCAATGACTGTGTCCATAAAGGGAAACTGTTACACACTGAAACAGGCACAGAGAGACAACTGGGCCGTGCACAGGAGACTGTCCACAGGCAGTTCCCAGAAGGAACCGACCAGCCGACGCTGTGGAATCCAGAGTTCCTGTCGCCTGAGCCCCGGAGCTGGAATCAGGCGTGGCCCTGAGGAGGGGCGGCTGCAGCCCCAGGCCAGCACCCTCAGGAGCCCCCTTCGCTGGCGACGGGGCCGGGCCACCCACCCCACTTGGCCAGCTCTGCTCACACCGCTCGTCCGTGTGCGGTGTGGACCCCAGCACTGTCCACCCACTGCCCAGGTGCTACGTGTGACAGAGCCACGTGTGGCCACCAGACACGCTGAGCAGCGACGTGGGAGCTCACTGTTGTTCAGGAAGAGTTAACAGGGACGATGTCACCCCTTCTCTGCCACAGTAAACCAAGAAGCTGGCAGGTACAGGAGACCTGCCAACGTACTTTATAAAAGGGTCACTTCTCACAAGAAAATGAGGGAAGAGTGACACTGAGCAAGTAACGCAGACCGGCTGCTCTGTTCAGAGCAGTGCCGCCCTCTGTCCCTTTACTGCTCTTCACTGTGGGCTCCCTGAAGCAGATGCACGTGATTGCAAAGCATTTTTGAGACAGAATGAAGTACTTACCTCTTCTGTGTTAACAACAAGCTTGGCCAAGAAGAGACGGACGTTTAATGACACTGACAGATTCCCTAGTTTGTCGTGAAGAAACTTCATCCAAGGAGGAAGATTTCTTGGCACCGAACCCTGAAATGACACACTCAGAATTACTTTAGAAAGTGGACTAAAACAGCTTCACCTCATGACATCGTGAGACAAAGACAGAGCAAGATGTGAGCAACGAGACATCAGGCCTGAGCAGAATCTGGAGTGGTCTTGGATGCTAAGCATCCGTCCTGACACGACAGAGGATGGTGGAGAGTGAGGTGGGGGTGGGGCAGAACAGACCTCTCCTCCCATGGGCGCGGCCGGAACCCGCTGCAGGTGCCTGACCAGGGCGGCCAGCGGGGCCATGCACTCATGCCGGTTCAGCTCATCCAGCTCCAGCTCCAGCATGTCGCCTTGGGTCACCGCATGCCTGTGCTCCTGGGAGGGAGAAGCCCGTGAGGTAGGTACATGCCGGGATCTGGCGTCCACAACAGCAACCTCACAGAGGACACACAGCGGTCCCCTCACTGCCCAGCCGCACACCAGCTCACGTCCCCCCACTGGCCCAGGAAGGCTCTTCCCCACCCGCCACACTCCAGTCACAGCATCCGCGCAGACAAAGATCCTTCCAGATGTGTGTGTCCCGGAGGCCCCAGAACCCTCAGCACACTGAGAGCAACGGTCTCCGAGAGCCTCAGTCACCACCTCCTGTAGGAAGTGCAGCTACTGAGCTGTGATTACAGGTAAGAGTTTACCCTTTTTTTCCTCAGGAGTCTGAAAACCTTTGCAAACTCCCTAATTTGACTCCAGACTTTACCAAGCCCTCCCGCCCTCCCTCCCTCCCTGAGCGCCCCAAGAGGGGAGGCTGGAGCCCCGTGGTCCTCTGGGCCCCCCTTCCCTTGCAAACACCGACAACATTCTTTAATCACCTGTCCCCGGGAACGGCCAGCTGCAGATTTAGGGTCTTGGGAACCGTAGGAGTAGCTCTGAACTCCAGTTGAGAAATCGAACTGACTCATTTCCTCAGTCAGGCTGCTGTCCTCCAGGTGAGACAGGGAGAACATGTAACGGGGGCCACCTGCCGGGGGGGAAGGAAACACTCAAGCCAGGGGAAGCCCAGGTGGTGCGGGCGTCGAGGACGCTCAGCCGAGGTGCCACCAGCCCACGGTCCTCGCCCACCACCCGGGCTAACAGAGCCGAAGGGCCTGGGGGACCTCCTCTGCTCCAGCCTCCTGAGCAGTCACCCTCCGGTGGAGAACAGAGAAATTGACTTGAACTGGATCCAATTTTTGGATGGGATACTAACAGAACTTCCTTACACTAAAAATTTTGATGTCATACATTTTTGCCCAGAAATAACATAAATGTGGCAAAAATTGCCAGTGAAAAACAACTAATCCAAAATACATAAGGAATTTAGAAAACTTACCCAAATTTTATTCTCAAACCAAGAAAAAAATAACTATGAAGAAAAATTAAGCAAAAATTGAAACAAGGAGCATGTGGAGGGACAGAGGGCTGATTCTAAGTGGGGAGGGCAAAGAACCTCCTACTGAGGCTGCATCAGACTAAGGGTCACGGGCCACGCTGACCTCTGGGCTGAGGGGATGCCACAGCCAAGGCCCTGGGGCACAGGGCACAGCGAGCGGATGAGGGGGGAGCTGTCCCAAGGGAGGTGTGGCTGAGGGGAGTTTTGGAGCAGGAGGGCAGGATGGGGCTTGTGTTTCCACAGACTTCTGGCCAAGCCGAAATCCCAGGCAAACATGATCCAAAAGCAAGTAAACAGACAGCAAGCCCAGCCTGCACCTGTGGAAGGCGTCCCAGGCCTGAGCCCCCCCTGGACTCTGAGATGCATCTACAGCGTCAGAGTCCAGCCAACTAGGTTTCTTGCAAAGTGCAATTCTACTTGCCACTCGAAGATAAAATGTTCAAACTGCAAGGTTTTGAGGTGTTTAAAATATTGCTAAAATATGCATACAACAAACACCAACCACTGGACTCTTCCCCATCACTCTGGGCGCGTGCTACCTGAACCCCCACTCGCGGCCTCCCTGGCTTCTCTCCTGATTTCAGTGTACCTCTTCTTTCTTTCCAGAGGGACCTATCAGGCAAAAACAAGCAGACGATTCAAAATTCTTTTGAATCATAGTCACACATTTTCTATTTTTGTAGCAGTCTGGCAAAACCCCACAATTATTAACTTTAAATCAAAACTTCTATCAAATGGAAAAGCCCTGAAAAACACCCACAAAGGGTTCCCACAGACGCCCACGAGGCTGGTGCTCCCCGGGGCCTGGGACCCGTGTGGGCCGAGCCCCTCCGGCCACGTCCTACTTGCACGGTTGTGACAGGTCAGCACATCTTAGAGCTGCTGGAAAGCTTAGAAGTCACACACGGCAAGTGTTTGAATGCTTAATAACCAGGCTATTCTTATGATTTGTTGTTAGTTCTCTGAACATAGGCCTAGAAAAACCTTCCCAATCTGGTTCCAAAAGGCAGGAAGTAACCACTTACCTGAAGTGGAGCCACTAAGACAGGGTCAAGGTTAGCAGCTGTGCGAGATCGGAGTGCCCTCTCCCCACGCTGTGCCAGGCCGCAACCACCGCCCCCCCACCACCAGGGGGTGCCTAAGATCCGGTCGCCCCTTTGCCAGGGCGCCCCCTCCCCGGGTCTGCCGGGACCCGCAGCAGGACCCCAGGGTCCTAATCCTGAGATGGGGGGGTCTCAACCCCTCTGACCAGAGGAGCTTGCTCAGACAACAGCTTTGCGGATGTGTCCTGACAGCTCTTCTACTGGCATTTTCTCTCCTTCACAGGCTGAAGGAGACCTGGGTTACGATGAACTTCTTGTAGGTGCCTGGGATTGAATCTCAGATGGAACTGTAAGGAACCGCCAGTTTTTACAGCTAAAAGCAGACTTGAGTGTGGAGATTGTAGAATGTTACATATATATCAGCGTAACACATGCTTTTCTCTGCAAGCATCCGGTAAGTTTTTAACTTAGAAAAATCTCACTCACCTCCACTTCTATGGGAAACGTGTAGCAGCGCCTCAGGTCCATTAGATTTTCAAAAATGAAGCACATTCTGCAGATGCAAAAACCGTACTGTGAGCGGTGGAGACACTGAGTGCTAAGTGCTACATGACGCTCCTCCAGGAGAGTCGGACAAGCACCGAGCTGACAACGCGCGCGGGTGGGACCGGGTAGGGGACGGGACATGCACACGGGGGCGGGGGATGACATCTCAGCTCACGGGGACCCGCAGCCAGGCGCCTACCTTCTCCGGCTTCTCACTGAACAGGAAGCCCTGGAAGAACCTGAGCTCCGTGAAGACGCAGCAGGAGACGGCGATGGCGCAGTTGTAGGCGGCGCAGTGCAGCAGCCTCCGCCTCTCCAGCAGCCGCTCCTCCCCAGCCATGTTCTCAGTGAATGTGTCATAGCACAGCCTGTGGGGCGGGCCCAGGAGCAGTCAGGTCCCCGCGCGGGACGTCACTCACCCAGGATACCGGGTGCCCCCACCGTGGCCGCCCGTGGAGGGCCACAAGTAGGCCGAGACCAGGCCAGGGGCCGGACGGCAGCCCAGCCTGACGATCACACATCTGAACTGAACTCTGAGTTGGAAGTCAGCAGAGGAAAGGCCACAGGCTCCAGGGGTCAGCGCCACCCCCCATGCGGGGTGGAGGGCGCAGCGGCAGTGACCACGGTGACAGCCTCACCGAGTGGCCCGGCCTCCGTCCTGCCCACTAGGGTCAACTGCATGAGCACAGTGTAGACAGACATCACCACGCCCCCATTCACACTGCTCGGGGCCGACTGCATGTGGGCACAGTGTAGACAGACACCACCACGCCTCCCCGTCCACACTGCTCGGCCGCTCCACATGCCCACAGAGCTGGAAGTGGTTACTGTCCAGCCCTTCACAGAGCAGCTTGCCGACCTCTGCGACTGAGGACAAGGCCCAGGGAAAGGGAACGGTCGGTTCACACAGCAGGGGAGCCTGGCTCTGGCAGCGGGGTGGGCAGAGCTGAGAATGATGAGCCTCAGTGCAGTGAGGACGATCGGGCAGGAGCCACCACGGGGGCTCTCCAAGGGGCACCAGAGCTGTGACCGATGGTGGACTGAGGCAGTGAACCGAGGGCACGGGTCCCAGGGTGCCGCAGAGACAGAAGCCATCGGCTGCAGGCCTGGCTGGTGCGAGGGTGCAGAGACCCCGATGAAGAAGAAACAGCGCAGCCCCCAAGGCCCCTGTCTGTGCAAACACGGGGACGCGGCGGTCACTGAGGGGCGCCGTGGGGGGTCGGGGGCCTGTCAGAAGTCGCTTCATGCAGCACCTGCTTGAAGCAGGCAGCACTCCCTTCACATCAAACAACTGGAAAAGAAAGACACACTAAACCCCTCTGTGCTGTAAACCCTGCCGCTAACCACACACCAGGCTGCTGAGAGGAAACAGCAGGAAAAAGACAGTGAAGGAAAAAGAGCTTCGGGGGAGGAGATAAACTGGGCGTTAGAGATCTGATACACAAGTCCATGCTGTGTAACACAGGGAACTGTGTTCGGTATCTTGGAGTAACTTACGGTGAAAATTATGAAAACGAATACATGTGTGTTCACGTATGACTGAAGCATTATGCTGGACACCAGAAACTGACACACTGTAAACTGACCATACTTCAATGAAAAAATATATATACAAAAAAAGCTTTATTTTTTAAGAAATAGGTGTATAGGATAAAACACGTTAAACACGTTACCTAGTAACATGGTGAATCAAAATCCATCTAAGTAGCTTGTACACAGGAAAACCATAAAAATTCAGCATTTAAACAGTTGTTCACATTATATACCTGCATAAAAACGCATGCATGAAAAATACTAACAAATTGGAGGGAGGCTGTAGCTCAGTGGTAGAGCACGTGCTTAGCAGGCACAAGGTCCTGGGTCTGATCCCCAGCACCTGTTCTAAAAATAAACCAATAAACCTAATTACCTCGCACCAAAAAAGAGACTGCTTCCCTAGGGAATGTGAAATAAAACCAACACTAGCTTGCAAAGCAAGCACAAGGGTCCAGGAAAGGCCTGACTGAGAGAAGACGCGCTGACAGTTCAGCACGACCCACAGTTAGCGAGAGCCTTACTTGATGAGTGTCTTCGTGAGCTCGTTTCCTTCTGCAGCACACGAGCCGTGGAAGGCCTGATTAACTCTAGACTCCTGCGAGTGAACAGCGTCCTTCGGAAGCCGGGAATACATCACCTCAAGCACCTTATAGTAGCCCATCTTCCTGGCGATCTGAGTGCCAAAGATGGATTCGTTTAGCTAAAAAAAAAAGACAACAAATGATTATCTCTGGTCCTATCAAACATGAAGAATATTTTATTGAATGTCAAATTTAATACTCAGCGTCCTTTACATCGAAAAGAACTTTAACAAAGACTCTAACGCACTTCAATAAGCGACAGCCCAGGGTTCAAAACGTGGGTCTCAGTATCGATGTGTTCTATTCAGCTAGCAGCAAACATTGACTTCAGGTGAGTGGAACTCATTTTGGACCTCTGGCCTCCAAAGCTGTGAGACCATAAATTTCTGCTGCTCTGTGCCCAGAGCTTAGTGTCATTTGTTATGGCAGGTTAAGGAAACCTTTTGGTACCAAGGGTTGGGGGCTACTGCAGCAAATGACAAAAGTACGTAAGTGGCTTTGGAACTGGATGAGGGATGGAGGCAGAAAACGCGTTGCCACCCTGACGGAAAAAGCCCAGACTGCCTTGCAGAGACTCCTGGTAGAAATCCCGACACTATAAGTGTTGCTGCGGAGGACCCGGAGGAAGGGAAGAGAAAGCCAGTGGGAGAGAAAGCAGTAATGCCTTAGAGAACACCCACCATCATAAACATACTTTGTGTAGAAATATGGACATGAAAGCCGCTGCTGGCGAAGTCTCAGAGGGTGCTCGTTACATGGCAGCAGAGAATTTAGCTGAATGGTGTCCCAAAGCCACGCTAAAGCAGAACTTGAAGCCTATGCACTTGAATATTTAGCTGAGAAGACTTCCAAGCAAATTTGTTGGAGGTTCTACGTGGCTGCTTCTTTGCTGCTTCTAATAAAACGTGAGGCGCAGCAAACAAATTACAACAAGGACTGTCAAGCGAAAAGAACCAGAATTTGATGCCTTGGGAAATTCTTGGCCTATCCAGATGGCAAAGATGCCGCCATTAGCAGATTCACTGTTAGGAAAGTGTGCTTTGGCAAGAAGATGGAGGGTGTGGCTGAAGAAATCAGCCGGTGACTCAGGGATGCTCCTCTCGCAGAAGCCAGGAGCAGAGGGGACCACCGGCCAGGTCTGCGGAGGACTCTGCTGCCTGAGGGAGTGACTCTCCAGGATGCACACGAGCACAGGAAGCTGCTGAGAGCGCTGTGCCCACTGGACTGGGAGGGACAGAGACACAATGGAGTGACAAAAAGGGCGCTGTGTTTCCAGTTTCTGCAGCTACTCAGCGGCGAACAAACGCTGACCTTCAAGACACTCTGAGGACGAGGCTCTGGCCCAGAGGGGGCGTCAGGCCACAGAGCACTGGTCCCAGTGTTGAAACCTAATGCAGTCTGTGGCTGATTTTAAAACTGCTTTGGAAGAACAGCTCCTTCCTTGCGCATTCTCCCACCTGGAGTAAGGACACGTACGAGCGTCAGCCTGCGCCCGTCCTGCCTCTGTATTTTGGAAGTCTGTCATTTCTTTCCCGTGTCTCCGGTCTACAAACAGAGAGGGTTTTGCCCCAGCATGGCTCACACCCAGAATACTAACCATATCTGATGTCTGTGGTCCAGATGATGAGGTAGGACTTCGTGCTAATAATATTTATGAGCTTTTGGACTTAAAAGTTGATGCTATAATGGGTCTAGACTTCGGGGGACAGTGCAATGGGGTAAATGTATTTTGCAAGTGGGAAACCCTTGGGGCAGATGGACTGTGTTAGGCTGAATAACCCACACTCCAATGGCTGGAACCTGTGGCCGACACCTTATGTGACAAAAAAGAATGACGCAGACGAAATGAAGCGAAGGATTCGAGATGATATCACCCAAGGGGCCCTGCACACAGTCATGTGTCTCCAGGAGAGGGCAGCAAGGTCAGACAGAGGAGCAGGAGGCCAAGGGAGGAGAAAGGCAGAGGGAGGAGGGCGCTGGGGCCTCCAGGAGCTGGCAGAGTGAGGAACGCACTTCCCCAGAGCAAGGACGGCGGAGGAGCTGACTCCTGCCTCCTGGCCCTGGTCTCTCGGTTCTAAGCCACACGTGCGGTGGTGTCACAGCAGCCCCGGGCAGCGCCGCAGGCTGTGACCACTGTGGAGAGGCAGCACTGCCTGAGCTGCAACACCCCAGCTGGGTATGGGGCACCTTCTGACGTCACTGAGCAGGGGATGCGTGGACCCTCACCAACGGTTAATTAACAGCAGGGGCACCGTACCTTTGTAAATCTGGACCTCAGCACGTCAACGGCATCCACCACGATTCTGCTGAAGAACTCGCTCAGAGCACCCAGCCCACAGCTCCACAACAGGGTGAGGAGAGCTCGGTCCACAAACGCCTGGCGAGTGGTGCCTGAAAGCAGGCTGTCCTTCCGGAACATTGCGTACACACTTTCCAGAAGGTCTAACTGTGTGTCATGTGAACTCCTGGGGAAAAGAAAATCATGCAGATGTTCACGCTTTAAACAAATATCCTGAGCACCTTCTATGTTACAAAGTCAATGCCAATGATTATGAGTCAGAAAAACAACTTCAAAGGTCACGTGTATGAAAACCACAAAGTATAAGATCACATATATGAAAACCACGAAGCGCAAGAGCCATTTGTACACAAACCACATCATTTCACTCGTCCCCAGGAATCTTCATGCCAGGTTAGGCACCAGGAAGACTTATTTCATTTTCTTTCTGATCTGGTCGTGTCTGGAGGACACTGGGAGGCCTTTCAAAGAGTCTCGGTCTGAAGACCATCACAATCCCCAGAACACGAACTCGAGAATCCAAATAAAAACCTCCAGTCTCCTCCTGAGCAACGAGCCCCCATCCTTGCCTCCTCATCTGGCCCTATACTGACTCACCTGGGAAATACGGCATATGAACGCTCACCTACGTAATTCTTAATCTATAAATCTATAGATTAAGAACACAGAGTTCATTTCCTCAGCTATAAAAATAAGAGGTTAGGACTGAGTGATCATTAAAATCCTTTCCAGTTCTAAAATCTCAGTGCTCAGAAGCTAGCTATGACCTAGGGCAAAAATACTAGATTTGAAGGCGATCCTGTCGTACAAATCAAAGCTGCAGGGCGCGCTGGATGGAACTCCAGGGCTCTGCAGGGCCCTGGACGCTGTCCTCACACACCTTCCCGGGGAGCTGTCTGCCCCGAGCACGGCAGGGACGCACACCCTACACAGACAGCTCAAGGAAAGGCAGGGAAGAGCAAACGTGGGTCGGCAGACGGTTTGCTGGAAAACAATGCAAACGAGCAATAAACGAATGAGGACATGCTCCACTTCACTCGTGGTAAAGGAAACACAAATTAATGCAATGCTGAGAGACCCCTTCTCATCCATAGCACTGGAGAGAATCTGACACCTGACAACACAGCCTGCGGCGAGGCCGTGAAGACACTGCTGGAGGGAGGGCAGACACTGCGGCCCCCGCACGGGCGGGGGGCTCCACACAGGAGCCAATGCATCGAGCCTTCCACATACACTTAAGAACCCGCTCCTAAGGAATTTACTCGTGGGTAAAGGGCACGTGACACACAGGGCTACTCGCTCCGCGGTTACTCTGAGCAGCAGGTCCTGGGCCCGAGCCCATTGCCCGGGGCTGCTGCACCACGGTGATGCCCCCTCACAGGGAGTAATCGCACAGTCGCTCACACAGAGGAAAGTGGAAGCGCCCAGGGCTGGTGTGGAGTGACCTGCAGATGTGAAGTGGACACGAGGTGAGGAGAGGGGACGGGGATGGAGGCGAGGCCCCCGAAGACAGCGCACGGCGCACCACGACTTTCCAACCACGGACATGTTTCACCTCCGCAAACCGAAAAGTAGGTCAAAAGGAAAAAGCAAACCACTTACAAGATCTGAAAATTAAGCAAAGCATATCTAACTAATTGGTATAATAAGCATACATTGAAAAGCTGTCACGTGACTTGGGGACACAAAACCTACATACCCTCAGAGAGTATATTCCAAGTAAATTACAACAAAAATTAAAGGTTTAACTTCACCCAGCCACGGTTCTTCCTAGTGGTAATGCTGGCGTTGTCAGTCTGAAAGTTCTTCGGTATATTGCAGAGCAAAGCAACTAAATAATGATGGAACGTTATTACAAACAACACTGAAAAGAAAACAAACTCCAATGTAAAGGGAAAAAAAAGTTAAACAATTAGATACCCACAATGTTAAGATCGAAAGGGAAGTACCAGAATGTTTCCCTTTTCCTTAAAAAGCAAAACAAACAACCTGTTCCTCAGCTGTGTCTGCTGAAAGCAGCAAAGCAACCCAGCAGCCCTGGGCTCGCCGAGGGCCCAGACGCCGCCCCTAACCAGCATTCCACGGGGCTCTTTGGAGGAACGGCTGCTTCCAGGTCAGGATAAACCTGGGATAATCTGGCGAGCCAAAGCGCATCTAAAGAATATCGAAGACCAAGGAGTCTTGTCCAGGGACTCCCACCAGCCACAGGTGGGACAAGCTGAGCATCGAAAAGAATGACGACTGCTATGGATGGCATGTCTGTTTTGTTTTTAAAAGTTCTAAAAGTGGAAAAAGTTAGAAAAAAATTGACTAACTTTCACAAAGACAACTGTGCCACTGGAGTAAGTTTTAAAACTGGGATGTGAAAATCCTCCTATTTTGTCTCTTTTTCAAAATTATGTTGGTTGTGAAGGGTATTTTGCATTTCCACAGAATATTAGGAACTGCCGGTCAATTTCTGCAAAAGAGAGGCCCAGGGAATTCTGACATAGACGGCATTAAACCTATCAACTTGGGTACAACTGCCGTGCTAACAAAACAGAACTTCCAATTCATGAACGGGGACTGTCTCTCCATTTTTTAGATCTTCAGTTTTTTTAATTTCCTTCAGCAGTACGCTGTAATTTTCAGGGTACCACCTTATGCTTCTTCTGTTACATTTATTCCAAAATATTTTACTACTTTTGGTACCATTATGAATGGAATCATATTCTTAAATAGTGTTGAACGTTCTCTGCTCATGCACAGAAATGCCACTGATTTTTTAATTCTGATCCTGTATCCTACAAATTTTCTATAATTGTTTATTCGTTCCAACAATTTCTTGCAGATCCGTCGGATTTTCTACCTCGTACCACATGAGTAAAGTTCTACTTTTTTTCTAAGCTGGTTGCCTTTCATGTCTCTTGCTTACCTGGCTGCACTGGCCAGGACGGCCAGCTGCATGCTGCGCAGAAGAGAACACATTTACCTGCTTCCCAAACCTGGAGGAAAACCTTCAGTCTTTCGCTGTTAAATATTGTGCTGGCAGTTGGTTTTTCATAGATGACCTTCTGTCAGTTTTATCATGAAGGAGTGTTGGATTTTGTCAAAAATTTATCTGCATCTACTAAAATACTGTTTTCTCCCTTAATACAGTGCATAACATTAACTGATTTACAGGTATGAAACCAGTATTCCAAGGACAAATTTCAATCGGTTATAGTGTGTAGTATTTTTTGTATGTTGTTGAATTTTGTTTGTTAATGTACTTTTGAGGATTTTTTGTCTGCAGTCATGAAGGATACTGGTCCACAGCTTTCTTGTGATGTCTCTGGCGTTGGTATCAGGGTGACACTGGCCTCACAGAACGAGGTGACAAGTGTTACTCCCACCTCTACTTTCTGAAGAGTTTATGTAGTGCTGGTATTATTTGTTCTTTAACTATTTGACAGAAACTCACCAGTGAAGCTGTCTGGGTCTAAGCCCTCCTTTGTGGGGAGATTCCACTTTTCTGACTACAGGCAGTTACAGTGAGCCAGTTTCTGGGCGTAGCATGGTGCCCCAGCTGTGCACACGCACGCACACGCTGTAAGTCACAAGACACCGGACGTGGCTCCCTGTGCTGTCCGGCAGGAGCTTGCTGTTTACTGGTTACTCTGTGGGAAGATTTTAAGTTATTAACTCGAATTATCTGCTTGTTAAATATATTCTCAGACACTCCATTTACTCTGTGTGTGTGTGTGCTGTTCACTGCCAGTGTGTAAGAAACACACTAATTATTGTATGATGATTTTACATCCTATACCCTTACCAAACACATTTATTAGTTTTGTATTTTTGAATGGCTTCCTTAGGACTTTCTTTTTTTAAATTTTTTTAATGGGGGGGTAATTTTAGGGTTTTTTTTAAATAGAGCTTCTGGGAACTGAACCCAGGACCCTGTGCATGCTAGGCATGCGTGCTGCCCCTGAGCTACACCCCACTCCCGAAGAACAGTATTGAGTGTTACTTTTTTCTGTCTTGGGAGGGAGGCAGTTAGGTTCGTTTATTCACTTCTTTCTTCCTTTTTTTAATGGGAGGACTGGGGACTGCACCCAGGACCTCGTGCATGCTGGGCACCAGCTCTGACCCTGAGCTCCACCACCCCTCCTTGATATTCCACTTATTCCTGAGTAGTTTTGGTAACTTGTGATTTTCAGGGCACCTGTCATTTCAGTCAAGCTGCTGGATTTGTCGGCACGACTTTGTCCACAACACCCCCTTCGAGTCTTCATCTGAGAGGAGGTGGCAATGCCTCCTCTGTTACTCCCGGTTCTCAGACGCCGCACCTTCTCTGTCATCCCTAGTTTGTCTAGCTGCCAGTCTGTCGCTTTCAAAGAACCAGTTCTCAGTTTCACTGATTTTTCTCCACCACTTTTCTGATTTCTGAGTCACCAGTTTCCAGCGTCATCTTCATCACCCGTGCCCTCCACCTGCCCGTTTAGCTGCAGGTGGAAGTTCACTTACTGACTTAGGGTCATTCTTACTCTCTAAGAAAGCCTCTAACGACCCAAACTCCCCTCCAACCACTGCTTTAGGTGCACCTCATATATTTGCTTTACTCTTATTTTATTCAGACCAAAATACTCCTTGAATTCTCTTATAATGTCTTCTTTAATTCCAACAGCTACGTAGAAGCATTAATTAGTTGGTTACTTAGAAATATTTCTGGATTCCTCACGTTTCCTTCTGTTGATTTCCAATTCAACCACAAGTGGTCAGAAAACACACTCTGTCAGATTTCAGTCCTTTTCAATTTATGAAGGCTTGTTCCATGGCCACCCGCAGGCTGCCCTGGAGAGCGTGCCACATGCTCAGAGGAAGTGCATACTCTCCTTGCCGTGCTGTTGTGTTCACCGCTGGTTAACAACAACGTATTTGTCTAAATGCCAATAAAAAGGAATGAACAACCAATTCACGCTTCATCACAGATGAAGCTCAGAAATTGGCTGAACGAAGATACCAGACATGAGATCATACCATGTGATTGCATTCATATGAAATGTCCAGAAAAGGCAAATTTATAAAGACCAAAAGCAGGTTGGTGGTTGCCTGGGGCCAGGAATGGGACTGGCTGTAAATGGTCAGGTAGGATCTTATTAGGAGATGAAATTATTCTGTGGTGATGGCTTTACACCACGTTGGTAAAGTTACTAAAAGTCACTGAATTATAAACTTAAAACAGGAGAATTTTACAATACATAGATTATAACTCAGTAAGATAAATTAATATGGGTATTTACATATTCAATATAAATGATGCCAATCAAGAAAAAAACTCCATGTCCACAATCAGAAGTACCCATGGCATCTAGCCCTTCCTTAAAAATCAACATCACACCTTATTTCATGAGAACACGAGAAGTGCAGCCCATGGTGAGGGCAAGTTCCTCATCACAGAGTCTGCGGCACTGCAGATCCTGATGAAACCCGTGACCGGGGCCACACCGGTGCACGGATGCTGACACCGCCAGGAAAAGGCTGCAAGGAACACGACTGACCAGCATCAGCACCCAGACACCATGTGCCCTTTAAGTCACGAACGTGATGCGCAACCAAGTAATCCCGCCAAAACTGGAACCCAAATCTGGGCTTTCAGACTCGACTTTCCACTTACAGGAAACACAGGCTGGAGGACAAGTCAAATGAGAAGAACTGAAAAATCAGGCAAATCCGGGGTGTGAGACAGTGAGAGTGCCCCAGGTTCTTGACAACAGAAGCGAAATTCACAAGCGAGGAGGCAGACTAACGGGCTCAACCGCGCGACGCCACATGGCCTGGCTGGGTCAGAATCAGAAGGACCCAACAGCCCCGAGTGCTCCAGACGACTGGGGAAATCTGCTTTGGGAACTACTGTGAATGCTGCTCAGTCGCTGCTACGACAGCTGCCTAGGAAAACCGCCCATTTCAGAGACACACAGCAGACGGGGACGTGAGCAGGTGCCTGGGGCCGCCCCAACTCACAGCCGCAGCAGGAAGGGGAAAGGCCGGTGGGAGACCGAGCTGAAGACACTGGCGCCCCTTCGACCTGGAGGCTCGCGTACAGCGACACTCTCCTGAGCACGTGTCACACTTTGATAACAGAAGCCTTTTAGAGAGAAAAACAAGACAAACTAAAATAAAATTCAACAACAGAGGGCAACCGCACTCTTCGTTTTGGGGACAGAAAAGACACTTTCCCACAGAAATAAAGTGTGCATGGTTCCCAGGCTCCACCCAGACAAGCACAGAAGACTTACTCTCTGGCGACCCGTCTGAAAGTGGACTGAAAGGCTTCTTCCATGACATGCCGCTCTTCCCGACAGAGGATTTCTGTCATCAGCTGCAACAGCACAGGACTCCGAGACAGCTCCAGCGCGTCCAGGAGCTAGGAGAGATGAGCACAACAGTGACGGCGATGAGGACAGACTTGCTGGACGCTTACTTTCGTTTTGTTTCTGGCAGTTCAAACAAAACAGAAAAGTATACCATTTTCACAAAGATCAACAAATGCTAACATGTCGTTTTCGTAGATAAAATGAATGCCTGGCAAATAGTGACATTCACTAAATACTTGAGCCTTGATTCTCGTAAGCTCTGCAGAGATTTCTCCTCTGACCAGGCTGAGAGCCCAAGTTCACAATGAGGTCCTTCGTGAGGCTACCTCCTCGGCTCCGGCCCTCCCTGCACAGCACGGGTTCCAGGCTGTGTCCCGTCTGCTGCCTCCACAACCCCTGCTCAGCTCTCCAGGAGACAGCCTCAATGTTATCTTCCGAGCTGTGAAGGTTTTCAGAATGTGGCATCTGCACAATTAACTTCCAAGAGCCTTACTTGTCCGGTTTCACGCACATGATACCTTCTCTCGCTTTGTCAACGCCGTTCCTCAGCCCCTCTTTCCTGCTGGTTACATCTTTCTTGGACTGGACGTTTTCTCCAGGTGTTCAGGACGGTTTGCACTCACACATTAAGAGAAAGTCCTGAAGGTGTCCTCAGGATCTGTGGATGGGACAGCTGCCGGATGGCAGATGGCTGGGGAGCAGGACGCTTGGATGGCACCAGCATGATGCTGTCGCCCCACCGGTGACTTGCAAATTGCAGAAAGAACACACTATTCGATAGCAAAATGGGGCAGGAACCACCTCAACCAAGCCACCAGGCATGAGGTCCCAACAGCAGGATGGGCACTGTGTGCCTCCTGAGTGGTTAAGCCGCAGAAAGTCAGCCTGGATCTCACCACCAACCTCCAGTTCAGAGGAAGAAGAGGGTGGGGGCTGAGGAGTCCCCCGAGGAAACAGTCCGACAAACGCAACATGTTCTGGTTTCTTCCAAAACCCAGCGTCATGGGAAGATAAGGGTGAGGGTGAACTAGTGCCAGATTAAAAGACACTAGAGACACGACAGTTCGATGCAATTGTTAATCAGATCCTGGTTTGAAAAATCCAGTCAAACAGGGAACTTCTGGAGAAATATGACTGTGGACAACACAACACAGGGCATGAGAGGAGTGTGACTTGTCATTGGTCTGACAGCTGCACCGCCTCCCTCTCTAGACGCACTGCTAAAGGGTCAGGGAGCTGAGCTGCAGATGTTTCAGCCGAACAGAGACACAGACACACACACGGACAGACACACAGACGCACACACGGACACACACACAGACACACACACGTACAGAAACACACACGGACACACACACAGACACGGACGCACGCAGACCCACACGCAGACACACACGCGGACACAGCAAGCCCAGCCAAGCACACTGCTGGCTCCAGAGACGGCAACAGGGATGCTTGTTTACTATTTGATCAACTTCTCTGTTTGCTTGAAAGGAAAAAACCAGACAGGACAGCAGCAGAGGACGCGGGGGCTGCCTGTCTTCGCATGGGACGGTGCCAGACCCCTCAGACAGGGACCCAGGAGAGGCCAGGAGCAAGCTGTAAGCCTTTAAGATGAGACTGGACGCCCCAGCATCACTCCCACTGCAGGCTTTTGTCGTCAGTGGGTCCTTCAGGCCAGCCCACACCCGACGGGAGGAAAATCAGACCACGTCTCTCAAAATGTATGACGTCTCTTTTCTCCTCCACGTGACGGAAAAGAGACACAACAAGAACACATGGACGGGACACCACCAGTATGGCCGTCTCTAGACAACTTGCTCACATCGACTCTGGCATCCACCACAGTGAGTTTTACTCATCGATTTCTTCCTTGCTCTCCTACAAGCTCCTTGAGGACAGAGATAACATTCATGCTCCTCCAGCCGGGCTCCGTCCACCACAAGCACGGGGGACCACCGCCCGCCCTCCAGTGGTGACTCTCATTCCTCCTACAGGCTGCACCCGAGTTCCAGCTGAGTGTGCAGCACCTAAGACAACACGCACAGCCGTGCTGGCCTGTGGTGGCCAGTGGTGTGTCCGCAGAGTCAACACATGCAGGGTCTAGAGCAGACCACCCCCTGCCCCCGTGAGCTAGAAGGGACAAGACAGACAGGAGTGGGAGCGGCCGCGCTGGACAAGGTGGATGCTGTGTGCGCAGGACAGAGCCGGTGAGAGGAGATGGGGTCCCCGTGGCCAATCTGGAGCCACACAGGACAGAGGTCATCATCACCTTGGCTGAGCCCCTGGGTTCCAGGGAACTCCCACGGTACCTTGAAGATGACAGGCGGTAACCACTAGCTGTTTCTCGACCACTTTTCAATTAACTTCAGAAACTGAATAGTGTTGGTAACACTCCACTTGTTAGCTCTTCTTGGTATTATTCCTTAAAACTCACTATACGTTATGCACAAAGCATTTCATGGCACTTCTATACAAGAAGTGTTTTAAAACGGGGTGGGGGGTTGGACATGAGTTCTAAAGGATTCAGATATGCACCTACCTCCACAAATACCCAGCTTTCAAATGGACTGAACTGAATTCAAGTCAGAACACTCTCTACTCCGGAGGTTCCACATACTCCTCATCAAGAAACGTAACAGAAAAACAAGAGCAGTTTAGTTTTCGCTGCACCTACTGAGAACTGACCTTCTTCACGCAGTCCACGTAAGTGCTGTACTGCAGGGTCCCCGGCGGGAGCTCCCCAGACGTCACGGGGAAACTGGAGGCGACGAGCCCCTCGAGGACCTGCTTCAGCTCCTCCAGACGCTCCCCAGGGAGGGCAGCGAAGAACGGGAGCAGAGGCATGGCCTGGGCCTACGGAACAAGGCGCCGACTGAGCACCACGGGATGAGCGAGGGGACCGCCGCCACAGGCGTGCGGAGGGCGCACCGTGTGGACCCCACAATGACCTCGGGCCCCCAGACGCACCGAGCCCAGTGGGACACGGTCTGGGCCTCGGGGGCTGAGCCAGGCCGCGCGGTGGAATCAGGACCGGGGGCCTGGCTCTGCCGCAAGGTCTCCCTCCACGAAGCCTGCTGAGCCGCGCAGCCCGAGTTCTGGAGGAAGGGGCACAAGCAACCCTGGGGGCAACCAGAGGGCCGACTCCAACTCCCATCGCCTTGAGGGGCACACGGGGTGCCGCTTCCACCTCCCCGGGCACCAGCCAGCCCCCTGGCTGCCTCCTACTGAGAACGAGACCCGGTGAACCGCACTGAGCGGACGGGTCCAGGGAGGTGTCTCACGATCCAGCGGAAAGCAGAAACGTGGCTCACACGTGAAGGCCACGTTTTATTAGAGTGTAAAATCTAACTGTTGCAGGACTTTAAAATCACAGTATCTATTAAGTTCCTGACCCTAAAAATTACTGAGATACTCCACATTATTAACTAATAGAAGAATGAGCCACAGTTTAAGTTTTTTCATTCATTAAAACAGCAATTCTCAAAATCGCCAATTTAAACCATTTAGGTGAAGACAGATGTTAACTCTTCCAAGTGCAGTGATCTCACTGCGCCCCGCCAGACGGAGGCTGTGGAGCTGCGTGCTGGGACAGGGAGGCCACGGGGGTGCACTGTGCGGGTCTCCCTGCTTTTGAGTATGTTTAAGATTTTCCGTAATAAAAAATAGACAATATCACTGATACACAAAAATATAAAATGGGAAAATAATGGAGAACGTAATCTGAAAAAAATCCTTTTAATCACTTACCTTTAAATGTAGACCCAAATTCGGATCAGCAAGCAAACTAACGTACGTCGTGAAAACCTCGGAGAACGCGCTGTGAGTCGCGCTGAAAGTCACGGATGAGTCGATCTGAAGGAGGAAAGCAGAAGCGCAGTGCATTTCTACGTTACGCCCCCAACCTTCTTTCATACGCTTGCCAATTTTCTAAATTCCAGAGATGACCTGTAAATCTGTTCTTGGGCTTCAACTGTATTTCAACGATTCTTGCTCTGAAATATCTTAAAACTACCCCCTAAGTCGATGCGTGGAAAGTGCACTAAAGAGCTAAAGCACAGGAAACAACAATGAAGACACAGGCTAACGATGTAAAATAAGGGAAAAGGATAAAAAGTGAGGTCACCAGCACTTGCCTAAAATTTCTGTCAAGTCAATGAGCTTTCCAAGAAACCTCCATCAAATTTTCAAAGATGCAAGTCACAGAGCTGCAAGCAACAGACACAGCCACATTTCCAATGTCTCTCAAGATACCTGCAGAATTTTCGCCAGCAAGGTCAACACCGCAGTCTTGCTGTCCGGGGCGGAACCCGGGGCCCACCACGAGTCGCACCTTCTCCAGCTCTGCAGGATGGCGTTCGCCAGCTTCAGGCCCTGCTGCCTCTCACCCGTGCGGTCCCTGAAGCTCTGATCCAACAGGCCATTCAAAACTGTGCTCACCTGAAACAGTCATGGGAAGAAGAAACCTGACCATCAGGCTGACATCATATGGCAAAGTGGGCTGTCCTGTCAAAGCCCTTCTGGAAAAACGAAGATGCTCGCTCTAGAGCAGCTGCTCACTTCACAACTCCTCAAATCTGAGGACAGCACTTAACATGCAGACTTTCCCACGGAAGTGTAACGTGGTACCTTACGACGTCATGCTTAACCTGCTCTCTGTTGTCTTCTCAGCTGTGCCCTCTCGATGGGAGGGGAGATCTGCTGTCCTGTCACCATCATCCCCGTGTGCAACCCACACATACATGGGGACACAGACACACGGCACACAAGGGACTCACTCGTGGGACACACATGGGGACAGACATACAAGGGACACGCACATACACACACAGGACACACACACATAAAGTGGAGAATTATTTAGCCACAAAAAAGGGAAATTCTGCCAATTACTAAAACACAGATTGGCCTTTGAGGGCATTATGCTAAGTGAAATAAGTCAGAAAGAAGAAAATAGATACTGTGTGATATCACTTACTCGTAGAGTCTAAAATACCCAACTCACAGATACAGAGAACAGACTGGCAGCTGCCAGAGAGGGTGTGCAGAGGGGCCAAATGGGTGAAGGGGGCCAGCCAGTGCACACCTCCAGCTATGAACAAATGGGCTTGCAGGTGTGATTTACAGCACAGAGGCGAGTCACCACTGCCGGATTATACATTTCAAAGTTGCCCAAGGAGCACAGAGGTTCTCACTGCAAGGAGAAAATCGAAACCATGTGAAATGCTGTTGCTAGACTCATTGTGGTGATGGTTTCACACATACACGTGTGTCTGATCAGCACACTGCACGCCTGTGCTAAGTGTATCTCACGAAAACGGGGGAGAAAAACATTCATTAATATGAATGGTTATAAAATAAACAAATAAAATCAGTAGCTTTCTGATATACCACATTGTTACAGAGACAATACAGAGCAAAATCCATTTACAACTAAAGTGCATCTAATACCCAGAAATGGCCTTAGTGGGAAATGTGCAGGAACTGTATGAGCAGAACTGCAACGCTATGTAACAGTGTGAGAGAAAGACTTGAGAACACGGGTGAAGACCTGAATAAAAGGAGGGGCCCCCCACAGAGAAAGTGGCTTAATTTTTTAGAGGTCAACTTGGTTTAATCCCTCTGTGCTGTGGAAAGGGCTGTGACACAATGATTCTAAATTTCACTCTGAAGAATAAACATACAAAAGTATAGCTTGAAAAATTCTTAAAAACAAAAACACTAAGAAGAAACACTGCCTTACCAAATGTTAAAATGTATCTTATAGTTGCTGGAATTGATACAATGTGGTACTGGATGAGAAACAGGTGGTTAAGTAACAAATTAAAACATACAACCTCAGACCCAATTTGTACAGAGATTTGCATCTGAAAAAGTTAGGAACTTGAATTAGTGAGGAACAGATGCATTAGTGAATGAATGTCCAATAAATAAGCATTTAGGGAAAAAACGTCATTTCTAAAGTGCCCTTCGCATTATTTACACTTGTTTAAAAAAGAAACTATAAAAAGTAACAGAAGAAAACATGGGCAGATTTTAAAGACAATACTGGGAAGGAGAAGGCCTTTCTAAGAGTGGCCGCAGTAACGCACGGCCAGCATCCTCTTTAACTACAGAAAACACCAACTACTTCTGCACGGAACCAACAGCCCAAGTGAGAAGGACAAGCGCCAGCAGGGAAGGCGCCCTCCGCACACGGGACGGGCAGAGGTCCACTGCCCTTCCTGCACAAAAAGTCCTGCAAATCGGTAAGAAAATGCACCCCAACAGACAAATGGGCAAAATACAGGAATACACACACTTTGGCAGTTAAAATAAAAACCAGCAGGAGACCAAGATCAGAAAAGTTAAGGAACTAACAGTAAACTTGGGAGATAAAAGTACAGAACGGACACTTCGGCTGTTTCCATGTCTTGGCTACTGAATGGAAGCGACCTAAACATCCATGGACAGATGACTGGATAAACAAGACGTGGTGTGTGTGCATGATGGACACTACTCAGCCGTGAAAAAGGACGAAATGATGCTATCAGCAGCAAAACAAATGGACCCGGATGGAGATCGTCATTCTAACTGGAGTATGCCAGAAACAGAAAGAAAAATACCACATGAGATTGCTCACATGTGGAATCTTAAAAAACAAAACAAAACAACAACAACAACAACAAAACCTTATTTACAAAACAGAAGCAGACTCACAGACACAGAAAACAAACCTATGGTTACTGGGTGGGAAGGGGTGGGAAGGGATAAACGGGGAGTTTGAGATTTGCGGATACTGACTAGTACATATAAAATAGGCAAACAAATTTATACCGTACAGCATAGGGAGCCATAATCAATATGCTGTAGCTACGGTGAAAGAGAGTATGAAAACGAATATATGTATGTTCACGTATGACTGGAGCATTGTGCTGTACACCAGAAATTGGCACAACATTGTAAACTGACTATACTTCAGTAAAATCATATATATATTTTAAAAGAACAGACTGGAATTCTCACCAGTGGAGTTAATAAAGTGCCTTTGTTATGGTGCAAAGCCTTTCAAGTTGCACTCTGTTGCTTCAAGAAATACGTGTATTATAAACAGTGATTCTAACCCCACGAAAGGTGCTTCTTTAGAAAAAGGTGTCTTTACCCTCAACTATGCCTGGAATCAGAGCCTTCGGCCTCCTGCGCGCCCCGAGGACGGGAGCCTGGAGGATGGGAGCCCCGAGGACAGGAGCCCCGAGGATAGGAGCCCTGAGGACAGGAGCCCCGAGGACAGGAGCGGAGGGAGCCATGTCCGCCCAGCTCTCCCCGCCCTCCCTCCGGCGTGCCCGCCCCCACCACAAGGCCACCCTGCAGCTTCCTCCGACTCTGACATCTGCCACTGCTGTCCTGCTTTCCAGCTTCCAAAATGTTGTCCCTCTTGCTTTTCCTCCTTTTCTGTGCCCTTCAAGACTGTGCTTTTTAAAAACAAAACAAAACAACAGCCTTGATTCTGTCGCACCGGAGGGACTGAGGAAGAGGAGGAGGTGAGCACAGCTTCAACCCATCAGCTTCCCCGTGAGGCTGAACAGTTTAAAAGCTCAAGATGCTTCATCTCCTGAGTGCTGTGCGCCTCCTGCAGTTTTATTTCTAACTTTCAAGGGCAAATTCCTAGAGGCAGACTCCTGGGGTAAGGCGACCCCAACGCCCCCACCCCCCACAGGCGACGAACACTGCTTGGAATAAAAGCTTGTTAACCCCAGGCAGTCCTGCCACTACGGCGCTAACGATTTCTGAGTGCCTACAGACCAGGTAAAGCTCCATGACTTTATACGTTTAGCACGCCAAAGTCGCCCAAATACTAAATGCTGATCTGCAGAGGTTCCGTGGGGGGGAAGGGGCCGTGCAGGAACACGTGGGACCTGAGGCCTCAGCCGTGGGGAAGGCTGGGCAGAAGCTGGTGGGACCCGGAGCAGGCCGGCCTCGGGCCGGGTGCACAAAGAAGGTCCCGGCGAAGCTCCATCCCTACACAGCAGCCCTGAGACTTGGGGCCCCGAGATCAGAAACAGTGACTGATGTCTCACATCCATTAAAATCACTAATCTTCACAGGGTCTGTTTTTTGCATAATTTGATTTTGTATTTAAAGCTCCAGGAAGAGACTTTACTTTGTTTTAATGATGCGTTATCTCAGGAATACGGCAACCCTGCTGTAAGCACCACTGTTGCAGGAGAATCCCATTACCATTTTGGGGTTGTCCACAGAGGATTTCATGAGCTCCGACACGGCAAGATCTGGATTTTTCAGTAGTTCAGCGTTGATTGCTTCTGAGAACACACTGTAAAAGTACTGCCCGTGAGAGAAGCTGACGGCGCTCCTCTGGAAGGCACCTGAGGACGGCATGCACACCTCCGTCTTGTCCAGGAGGAGACCCACGAGGCACTCACACTGCAGAGAGGACAGGACAGGGTGATGGTACGGAGGTGCCCCGGCCACTGTGAACCCCGAAGTGGACAAGCATGGAGTCTAAAGGGGCCATGTCTGCGTCGTGGCATTTCCACGTGGCTCTGTTTTCTAGGTCTCACTCTGGGTAAGAACTCTTCCCTGGCCCCTGAGTCTCCACGGCTCTAGAAACATCCTGTGGCTGCTGCTCTGAGGGGAGATCTAGGAAGGGGACTGCTGGGCACTGAGCGGACGCAGGGGCAGCAGAAGGGAAGACGGGTGGAGTCAGGGGACCCTGCACGGTGCAAAGGGCCCCGAGGACTTTGTGAGCGCGCGGAACCCTCCCCCAGGGCCCGTCCCAAGTCTGCTGCCCAAAGACTTGCCAAGGATGAGGGAAGAGGAGGCCGCTGTGTCAGTGCAGGTCAGCTTTCACCACACAGTGCCCTCTGCCTACAGCCCTTCCAGAAATGAATTGGGACAGACAAAACCTCAGCTTAAGAAGAATGCTATTCTATTTCTTAAAAAAAAAAAACAAAAACCTTTTAGGAAAAAAGCCCCCTCACATAAATCAGTTAAAGTCCTCGTGCAGCTAAGAACTCACCCAGCTAAGCTCCAGTTTTAGAGGCCCTGCGAGTGAGTTCCACCTCACAGGGTCGGGCGAGCACGCGCGCGGGGGCTGTTTCTCCTACCTGTCCTCCACACGCGAAGGCCAGCTCCAGGAGCCCCCCGGCCAGCCGCCTGCAGCCGGGGTCCAGTGAAGGCAGGCACTGCCGCTCATCTCCAGGCGCGATGCTTCTGAAGACCAGGGAGAGCAGCTTTGTGCCAAGAGAGAGCTGCTGATCTGCAGACTGAAGTGGAGCAGCACTGAAACACCCAGCAGCAAGGTGTCGTATAGAAAAAGGCAGCCCCGCACCCTGCGCTCAGGAAACACCGACACTGCCTCCAGGTGTCGGGGACGCCGCCTCTCCCCTCGGCTGAGGCGCAGCGGCAGCCGGGGCCGAAGGCCCACAGAAGCTGCTGGGGACTCTCCCGTTACGTTCCTAAGTCCTCACACTCCCTTCCTTTCTTGTATTCTAGACGACACAGACACGTTTGGAGCAGGCATGTCTGCAACCTGCTCTGGCACGCTCTGCACGGATGAACTGGCTGACGAGCGGAAGCAGCTGAGGGGCATGACGGCGGCAGGCGTGGTACCTGAGCCGGGGCGACGGCCTGCAGAAAGCCGGCTCTGTGAAGCTGCTTGCACGCGGATAGGAGAGATGTCAGCTTGGCCCTGCTCCCGTGCACGTCCGGGCCCCACAGGTCAGCAGCACAGAGCTCCTCCATGCTGGCCATGCAGAGACACAGAAGGAGAACCATGACTTTACCGTCAAGAAAAATGAAAACTGTGTGTCCCTCCGTAATGCATCCCCAGCCTCCAGGCACCCAGCTCACTGCCCTGCCCACGAGAGCAGACACAGGTCGCCCAACACAGGCCCACGTGGGTCCCGCTGAGGAGACAGCGCGGGGCCAAGCCCCAAGCAGCCTCACCCCCGAGATTCCGGGAAGGACCAGTCGGGCAGGGGTGAGACACACTGCACCTGCCTGCGGCCACAGAGACCATCCCTGCAGCCCCCACGAATGGCAGGAGCAGGCCCACCTCTGAGCCGGGATCGCCTCCCTGAGGCGCGTCTCCAGCGCGGCCCGGAGCGGCGTGGCCCTTAGGGCTCTCAGCAGGCCCACACAGACGTGGGGGAGGTGGTCCATGACCGCGACGTCGCCCACGTTGAAGCCCAGGCTCGAGGGCGCGCACAGCGTGGTCACCAGGAGTGTCATGAGGTTGGCAAGGTACGGGTCCTCCAGGAGCTGCACAGACACACGACCAGTCGACGCCGGGAAATCCACGCAGCCAACAGCCTGCGAGCAGGCTTCTGCCTGGCCAGGGTCGGGGCTGGCAAAGTCCCCACCAGGCCAGGCAGCGGCACTGTGGGCTCTGCAGGAGGACCTGACCCACTGGTGTCGCAGCCCACTGGGAACAGGCACCTGGCGCTGTCCCAGCGAAACTGGCCCAGGAGCGGCCGTGGGCTTCTCACCCGGGCGCAGGACAGGGGTGACTTGCGGGCACAAGATTCACAGACACACTTTAAGACATCGGCTGACGCCTGCTTCCTAAGGCGGATGTGCGATCACGGCGTAAAACGCACTTGCCAGTAAAACCCTGGGGAAAACCACCTGGCCTTTACAACGAGGGTCTCAGGTGCGTGCAGAGTCGGCCATTTCCAAGAACAGGTGACTTCGCAGCAGCAGGCAGCCCCAAGGAGGCAGCCGCGTGCTCTGTGGGTGGGCCTACCTTCCAGCCTTCAGGCGAGGCGCTGAGCAGCGTGGTGGAGAGCTCCAGGAGCCGGACAGTGACCGTGCACTTGCTGTACGTGAACCTCTCTGCCTCCTGGGGGCTGGGCCTGTCGCTGGCTGCCCCAGGGCCAAAGCGCTCCTCTGCCGCCGTGACATCGTGCAGAGCGATGCTTTCTAAAAAGAAAGCCACCGCCTTCCAAAGTGAAGACTGTGTCTCCGCACCTGGAAAAAGTTACACTGAAATATTAACAGATTTTAAGAATTAAAAGAAAAGAAATACTTACATATGCTTCCTTCTGAGCCCATTAAGATTAATGTAAAATTCCTTCATTAAGTATAGGCATGATACGTTTTTAGTCAAAATGTTGAAAGTTCAATAAAAGCAGAATAAAACGGCAGTTATTTCTTCTCATTTCAAAATCACCACCACCCGAGCAGAAGCCAACTGCAGACTCACAGTCATAACACGTCTACACAAAGTGAGGTCTTGCTTTGCAAACACTCCTTGTGGGCACATAAGTCAACACGCTCTTTTTGAAGGGCAATTTGGTAAATCATAACAAAAGCTTTAAAAAAATATGCACACCAATTTCTACCAAACGTTGAAAAGCTCACACGCTTTGATCCAGCACTGAATTTTACCCTCATGAGGTAATGGCGGAATTTCAAAGACGCGCTTCTGAGGATGTTCACTTGGGCGATGCTTTTAATAATGAAAAACAACCTAACTGTCCTTCAAAGGGGCAACGAAGAGACACGTCAGGATAGTGGCCCCAAAACAGGTGTGCGTGACCAGCCGTCTGAGGGAATCAATTTCAGATCACGCCTCCCTTCCGGTCTCTGCCGTTCACGGCCGCCCTCCTGCGTGACACAGAGAAGATGGATACACCGGCCTCCTCCTGCACTCTGAGCGTGGCAACCATCCCACCGTAAAGACGTCGGAGCCCCACACGAAGGGACAGTGACAACAGGCTGTATGTGCTGAGGGAGTGAGCGAAGGTGGTGACTGGCTAAGGAATCCTCCAAGGTTACGGTTTCCAATTCAGTTTTTATCAGATTTAAAGAAAGTTAATCAAACTGCCAACCAACAGATTATTAATTTTTATGACAGGTGACTATATATTCAAAGAACTGAGAGAAAATATGTCAAGAATTATGTTTTCAAACCCCAAATATCCTTGAATCCAACAGACCCCACGGGCAGCACACACAACACGTTCCAACCAGACACAGTAAAAGGGGAAAATGTACATTTTAGAATTTTTCAAATATGGCACTTGTTTGTGTGAGTAAGTTTTTTTAGTACCAAAATCTACATAAAACAAAAAAAAGGATTCTAATCATATAATTCTACCTTTTATCTGCAATAACGATTTATCAAGGTTTCCTGTGTCCGCGCAGCGGTGGTAACAAACACAACATGCACCAACAACTAATGCACAGAGAGCTCAGCACAGCAGAGCCCCGAGCAAACGCTCAGCCAGCTGGCGAGCGAGAACACAAGCACGGAAGTGCACAGCGCCAGGACACAACAGGTGGGGTGCAGAGCAGTCGCCGCACGTCAGGGACTTGGCAGGTTCCCAGGAAAGAAACTATTTTAAAGCTGAAAAGGCTGAGTATGAAAATACTACGGTATTTAAGTTCCACCGAATACATGTTTTTCAAGTAACGTTAACATTTTTATAATGAAATGCCGACACCTACAGCAGACCGGAAGTTCAACTTTTCCAGTTACTCAAAGCTGTAAGAAAAAACCGTTGGTCAACTTCAAAGCTGGGAAGAGGGGAAATTGTTTTTAACGTCTCCCTCCCCTCACAGGGCACGGGAATAAACAGCCTGGAGGCCACCCAAGTGTGGTACAGACACAGAGCCTGGCAGTCTGTGTACTGATAGATAAAGGCGTGTGTGCCGACACAGGGCGTCCCGTGCAATTGCTTTCTTTCTAAAAAGCAAATTACATTAAAGTGTGTGTGTGTGTATGTGTGTGATTGAATTAAGTAAAAATCTTAAAATTCATTACACACATGTATACAAGTCAAAAAAAATCTTAAATACACGTGCAGGAAAGTACACACAACACTATTTTTAAGGTGCTTCTCATCAGGGAGTGTGACTGGGGAGAAGGGCTGCGTATTTCCTACACTTTTTCCTTGAGTTTTCAAAATGAGGACACGTGAGACCTCCTAAAACTGCGAATTTAAGACATTATTTGCAACTGAACAGCTAATACTGTTGATTTTAAAGCTTCACAGTCTGGCCTACCCTTCTGAGACCCTCACACTTAATGGCCCAGGTCGTGCTCATACTGGAGTCAGGCTTTCCCAGGATGGGCAGCAGAAATCCAGTTTCCTGCCCCAAGCAGTGCCCGCCTCGTCCACCTGGAGCTGGAAGCCAGCGGGCTCTGTCCCGAACCCCCAAGCCCCACCCCCAATCCCCCGGCGGAACTTTAACCAACATTCGCCTCCTTCTGAGGGGCGAGTCTCAGTTCAGCCCCGAGAGAGCGGTCCAGGGAGACCCCAGGAGACGCAGACAGGCTGCCCCGGCCTCTGTCCCGGGGATGCTCCTGCAAGGGCCCAGTTCCTCCCGCCACACAATCACCCTGCAAGCGACGCCACTGGGACAGGCAGAGCACGGGGCCGAGTCAGAAGGACTCCATGTGCCCCAGGCTCAAAACTGCACAGGCCCCTGGACCCATGACCAGGGAGGAAAGTGGCAGTGACTGGACAAGTGCCCGGAGCCTGAGCTCCGGCAGGCGGTCCTGGGGCGGTGCTGCGGTCCTGGCCGGCAGCCAGCTGTCTGATCAAGGCCCCTCTGACCCCTTTCCCAGGATGGCTCCCGGCCAGACTGGACGGTGAGGACAGGGAGGCTGCACCCACCCAGGACCTGGGCCGCCCCAAGCGTCTTCTCGCCCAGGAAGGTGTTGTAGCACTCGAGCGCCGCCAGCAGCATGTCCATCCACTGCAGGGCAGCCCGCAGGCTGAACGGGCCCTGCAGGTGGAGGAGGGTGGGCTGGGCCAGGATGCCCGATGGCTGGTCAGGAGCTCCTCCGCCCCCCTCGAACGTGCGGACGACCCAGGAAATGCCTTCTCTCTCGATAACGTCTCTCAGCCACCAGGAAGGGGATCTGTTGCCTGAAAAAAGAAACAAGATGAAAGCACACATACAAGTAACTTTCATGTAACTAAAATCATGTAATCACTATACTTAAAAACAACATCTCCCAATAATAAAAAAACAAGAGTTAAAAGTCTGGTATGTTAAAAATGTCATCAGACCAGAACAAGACTGGCATTATCTTCACACTTCAAATGTAGTTTCCAGAAAAATCCCGCACAAACACCTGACCAGTGCAGTAAAATTCAAAATGATCCGGGACAACCTTGTTTCTAACCACAGCACTCACCACTTGCCCACTAGTAACTGCCAAGAAGGCATTTCCACCAACAGCCATTCTCTTTAGCTTCTTTAAACATCATTAAAACAGCAGGAAACCACTTGAACATCTATGAAACTCATGCTCTCTGCCTGTCTTTTCTTCAAATATTTCTCTCTTAAGGACTAATTTACGGGACAAACACAAAGAGCAGTGACACGCTCGGTCCCCACCCTGCCTGTGCTCACGGCCATGGGGGCCAAGCTCCCCAGCCTCGGCTTCCTATCCATACTGAGACCCGCGACAGTACCAGCAGGCCAGCTCCAAAATTAAGTGAACTGAAGTGACTAACATTTGAAAAAGTAACCAGAAAGGCACCCATGACACAGTAAGTGCAGTGTTTATTAAATAAAGTCAAATGATCTGCTTTTCAAAAGATGTTTTTCTTTTAGGTATTAGTCATTTTCCAAATTAAAGAAAAAAACATAGAAGTGTATTCTGCATGCACTGAAACCAGTGGCTCTGAAAAGGTCTAACCATTCTGACTGTAATGAAGTTGGTGAAAAATCCGCAACAGTCATGTACTTCTGATGCAAAAGAAGAAACGGGTATTTTTTGACAATAAAAAACCTATCACAAGCTACATCAGTAAAAGACTAATACCACATTTCAGGTTTGTTTCAGGAATGTTAAACCTTCCATTATTCTTGCTAAGACTAGACAAAGAAAATCAAACCACAATAATGAGCAAAGAGGAGTAAGGAATGTAAACTCCACGGCAAGGGAGAGCTCAGAGGGCAGCAGCAGCAGACGTCGAGGAGAAGGACACAGCGTGGCGGTCGCTCCTCCCACCGCTCTCCGGCTCGCGGCCCACACACCCCACTCAGGTATCAGCATCCAAAGGCCCTGACACGCGGCGGGGCACAACCCACACCTGACATTGCATCCCACAGGCCTGGGTGTCCAGGCACCTGGCACCCCACACTCCCGCAGGACAGAGGACCACTGGTCTAAAGAAACACCCAAGGCCGTCCCTCAGAACTCGCTGGGGGAGGACCCAGCAGAGGGTGGGAGCCGGGGAGGTCAGGAAGGAGTCACATGGGGGCAGGGAAGGCTCCCAGCAGGCGCGTCCTGTTTCACAAGGACACTGGGGAGGTGGCGCTCCAGTCCTCTCACTGAAACACTCGCAGCCCTGCAGGCAACGAGAAGGGCAGGGGAGCCACCTGGAAACCGTGGCGCTGGCCAACAGGCGGCCCTACTTACCTAACGCCTGGGCCTCGGCTTCCTTACAAATAAAAAAAGAGGCCCCACCCTGCACCCCACCCACTCTCGACGGATTTCACCGTGAGAACGACAACACATAAAACAAACTTCATTAACCAAAAGCAGTAAGCAAGTACAAAACACTAACAACGGTTTTAAACTCTCTCCATCAAACCCACAGATACACACTTCTCTGTACGTGAGAGATTTCAGTGACAGCAGACACATACACACTATGATCTGAGTGGTGAAACACCGTGCAGATGACACAACCGCCACACACAGCACGCAACACTGAGCAGCATGACGGCCACAGCCACGTTCACAACGACCAGAGGGGAGCCGAGGGGGGTGCTCAGAGCCGTCCTCTGAACACCACTGGCTCCCCGGGACACGCACACAGCACGTCCTGCTTCTGGACAGGGGCCTGGTGCGTGTGAAGGGGCCACGGCCGGGGTCTGCGCTGGGCCAAGCTTCCCCATGCCTGAGCTCCTACCAACCCTGGGTTCACCGTTACTTAAGAAAACAGAACAGTACGTTCACTCCTGAGAAACTCAGAAGTCGCTTCCGGCCTGTAAGCACAGGTCAGTGGTTTGTGCCGGAGCTACTGAAAAGCACTGCTTTCCTTTGACACCACAGTGACCTGGGGTCACTCAGACTCAGGAGCCTATTGAAAGCCTGTTATTACATGTTGAAATAAAACAGTAAGTTTTTCATTAACTATTAACAGGACTTCTAAATCTCAACTGAATACCACGATTTCTTTTAAATGGAGGAGAAAAGCAAAAATATAGTGGAATAAAAAAAAACACTGAGGAATTCTAAAGTTACTTTCTCTGTATCTTCTAACAGCAAAACAGCATTTTTTTCTTTCCCTCTATGAGAAATCCTTGAGAAACGTACACTCATCATTTAGCACCTGTCATATAAATGATCTGTAATGATTATTGAACACACTTCTTTGTATTTGTTAGAAACATACTGTCACCTAAATAAAGAAAAGATCTCTATGTGCATCTCTAACGACTGGCAAAAAAGCAAAGCCCACCGTAACAGGACATCAAGATCACGGTACCTGGCAATAAAGGAACAAGTTTGTAGAAGAGTTCTATGGACTTGTGCCGACACTCTGTCTGGGGCCTCCCACAGCTGGCGAAAAGCCACTGGACCACGTCGGATAAGCACAAGGATGCTGCAGGTGGAAACCCACTGTGTGGAGAGAGCACACTGCATTTAACACACGCCCCGACAGGCAGCGTTCTGCTGGCCCAAGAGTCCAAGCACCACAGACTTGACTCTGCCACCCTGAACATGGAGAAACCTCAATAAAAGGCGTTCAATTCATTTTTAACATATTATCGTTACAATACAATCCAAATGTAAAAAGGCATCCTTTTTTTTTCAACCGATGGAAAGATTAAAAAGCATTTCTCAAAAGAACAGCACCCAGCATTTTCACATTTCCTCTTCCTTGCACCCGAAAACAAAAGGGGGTTCAGACTTAGAGCAGCGCCTCTGAAGCAGTACCAGCCGCAGGCCCCGCAGACAGGCCGGTGCTCGCCCCCACCCCACACCTACGGGAGCTGACGGGGGGCAGGGCCCAGCCAGCTGTGCGGCTTTCCCTTTTTCTACTGTTTTCTGGGGGGCTGGTAATTAGGTTTATTTACTTATTTTAACAGAGGTGCTGGGGACTGAGGCCAGGACCTCGTGCACGCTACTGAGCTGCGCTCTTCCCCAGAGCAACCTGTTTTAATGAGACCTCAAGGTAATTCTGATGCCAAAATTTGAGCACCAATGACGTGAAGAGACCCACAAGTCAACGGCAGAATCTGGAGGACTCAGCTGTAAAACAAGAGGGGATGTTAACGCCCAGTCACCAGTCTCCAGCACCCCTGCAGAGTGACCGTGGCCAGCAGACACCAGAGCCCCCGAGAGCCCCACGGAGACCGCAGAGGGGCCCGGCGCTCCCCACTGTCTGAGAACAAGGCCCTGCCGGGACAGAAAGGCAGTGAAGACTGGAAATCGCCGGTCACTAACCCAGTCTCGGTTTTGGGTGGCTTCACTTCATAATCCTGTAATTCCATGTGTGTCAAAATCCTACTATTTCATTATTTCAGTTCCTATACTTCATCAGACTTACTCCGTGACAGTCCATGCATATTTCAGTCAAGCAATTCCACATAGAATTCATATTCAAAATTAGTGCAATAAAATAAACGCTTCAAAACTAATTTTCATATTGTATCCACCATTCCAACCAAGATTACACCTTAAAGCATTTCCAAACATTAAGCTTTTTAACAACTTTGGAAAACTGACTCTTCATACTTCCGAAAATTCCTCCCAGATTCTCCTTTATTAACTGATAACAGTTTTATGTTGGGGAAAAGAAACGGAAAAGGAACATCACGTACCGTGGCAGGCGCCGTTTTCTGGCTTGGTTCAGAGAAGTGTGCTTCTTCTGGATGATGCGGCCCAGGTGGTCGACGGCGTCACAGCACTGCTGCGCGGTGCCTGCACACAACAAGAAGGTGAGCTTTCGGGGAGGGCCAGCGGGCGCACTGACAAAGAGGGTCTGTGGGTTTACAGGCCTACTCTTTTAATTAAAGAGATGATTTATTCAGAACAGTTCATACGCTTCCATCCCTCAAAATATGAAATTTAAGTAAGTGAGTTACACTGCACATCCAAAAACGAAACCCGTACTGAAGACGCACAGGCAGTACCCGCAGCCCCCACGCGCGGCTCTGCGACCGAGAGGCCTTGCAGGTGTTATGAGCCCCACAAAGCAGGCCAGAGCCTGTGTACTTCCATCCACCATATGAGGGGTGCAAGTCCCTCGAGCTCCGCTTCCTCTCACATAGGTTAAACCATATCACAGCTCAGTGACACGGCTCCTGCAGAGGAGAACAGGAATAAGCAGCAACGCCACCCACAGAGGCCTGGGGCCGCTGAGGGGAGGGGCCTCGCACGGCTCGTTCTGACCTCTACTCCCCAGGGGAAGGGTTCTTCCTATGCCTTTGAAATACGGTACTGATTTTTCAGAGCAAAGCTTCACTGTCTGAGAAAATTCACATACACATGCTGTTGAAATAAAGTAACTCTTAAGCCACTGACGTCAGGACTGAGTCTCACGCATCTCTGCTCACAGCAGGGCTGCCAGCAGGAAGGACAAGAGAGCTTATTAATCTGTCTGTCTCACCTGGTGAGAGGGGGCTGCGTGGCCGCTGCTGTGAGGTGTGGGCCCGGCCCGACCTACCCGCAGACTGCGTGGGGACCGCCGCCCGCCCAGAGACCCAGAGGTACCAGTAAAGACTGTAACTTATCACTCCTCAGCCACGTTAGCCTACTCCTGACCTGGTATTTTAAAATCACGTCTTACATACGGTCAAAACAGCACAACCTTGCGACGAAACTGCTACTTTCTTCACTGAGGTCAGGAGCGGGCAGGAAGCCCTGACCACATCTTCGAGGTCACGACCTTCCTCACCTTGTGCAATCTGCATTTTCAGTCGTGTCACCACAGCCACGGGCCAGCTTCACCGGAGCATCACAGAAAACCGCCCCGCGCCCTCGGTGGGGCCCCCCGCCAGGGGCTGAGCTGAGGGACCGCTGGGGCACGTGGCGCCTGGGGGAGGAGGCCCAGAGGCCCCACACAAACCGGGTCTGGGAGGGAGGGCGCGTCTCCCTTGCGTTCATCGCCCTGGCCAGGGCACACGCACCGGCCCGGGACGGAGCCTCACCGCCCGTAAGGCGGGCGGACGGCACACGGCGCAGGCGAGACTTACCCAAGGACTTCTCGTCCGCGTGGGCCAGGGCCAGGCTCTCCATGAACGTGACCAAGGCCTCAAACACAAACTGTTCCACCAGAGCCTCTTCCTCCCTGCAACACAAGGGACACCGCCTCAGCCGAGAGCGCAGCAAACACGCCTGACGAGGAAGAAGGCCGTGTTGCCAACAAGCGTGCCTCCACTAACCTGTCCTGAAGAGCAGCTCACGTGTTTCCAGACCCCAAACAACCTAAGATGCTTCTCAAAGAAGCAGCTTTGTCCAGAGCAGACCCAGGAGCCCCGGCTTTTTCCCACATAAGCACTTACCTCACCTGCAGTTCCACTCACAGGACGTAACCTTAAAACCGCTGTTCTGACCACGCTCCACGCACCTCATTAAAATTGCATGCAGCTGAAAAGAAACCTGGTACCTCATCCACATTCATGTAAAACACAGTAGTTTTGACAGCTCTCCACCTCTCCACAGGCAGTCAGCACCAACAGCAGCACCGGGCCTCTCAGCCAGACCCGCCGCCCGTGGACAGTGACGTCTGCGGCCCGTCCAGCGCAGACGGCTTCTCGCAGGGAGGGGGTGCTGCGCCCGCACACGCTGGGCAGAGTGGCACCCCCCCTTCCTGAGGCTCCCTCCCAGTGCTCTGGCTCGGACAGCCGCGGGCAGACGTCAAAGGGCAGTGCACGTCCCTGGACAGCATTTCTCCTCGTGTCAGCTGTGGGTCTCCCTCGCACATCCCTGGAGGGCTCTGCTTCCCCGGACTAACAAGGGACCTGGTCCACCCAGCTCCTCAGGACGGGCTACTGTTACTCCCAGGGAAGCGGATGCCAGTCCCTGCTCAGCGGGGTGTCCCAGGATCCTGTCCCGGACAGTGAAGACCCTGACCCACCTCACCCACCGTGCCCACAACCAGCAGCTGCTCTCCAGGACCAGGAGCACAGTGCTCGGGGTGCACACAGGCAACCCAGCCGAAAGGCAAAACGGGAACAAGTGACCTCCAGTAGGAGAACGGCGAGCTCAGGGCAGGGGCGGGTCCAAAACACTGATAATATTCTGTTTCTAAACCTGGGTGCTAAGTGTGCAGGAACTTCTTTCATTTTCATGAGTCTGTAAACTCTACACAGGTTAGGGCTTTAAGTGGAGGTGTAACTGACATACACCACTGCATCAGCTTCAGGTGCGCAACACAGTCCAACATCCACACGTTACAGAACCGTCACCACAGGTGCTCTGGGCAGCACGAGCCACCACGCACGGTCACACTCAGTCACCGGTGTCCCAACTGCCACTTCCTGAACCAAGCTATTCTGACCGAACGAGGTCAGGTTCCTCACGACAGGACTCCTCCGTAGTCAGGTACCCCTGCTCAAAAGCCCTGATTTCAGCTGTAAGTTTTACCTTCATCTGTGTGACTGACGAAATATTCCCTACCCCTTTGTCAAACGCCACCTTCAGGAAGGGCGACATCTGGTCTCCCTGCAGCATGCAGCCCCGCAACACTAAGTGAACAGATGCTCCGCGAGCTGAGGTCAGGGACCGTCTTTCCCTGGAAGTGAAGCAACCCCTGCCCTGCCGTCCTGGCCCCCAGACCCTGCCATGCAGCTGCTGGCAGGTG